ACCCATCACCTGCTGCCTTCACCAGGGGTGCACGGGACTCGATCGGAGCATGACCCCAGGCACTCTGATATCAGATGCGGGCATCACAATCAGCAACTTCACCTCCAGGCCAAAGGCCTGCCCCTCATTTTAGCTGAAATCTTGACGTGCAGTCCTAACTCCTGACCCAAATCTGAACTTGTGTACTGCCCCCTGGATTCGGCGCTGCAGCCTCACCAAAACCAAAAACTCATGGAGTTCCTTCTTACTTTTTTCTGAGTTCCACTTTGATACTTTCTCCATCTATCAAGATCTGGACCTGTATTAACCCCCAAGGGACGAAAACAAATGTGATTGCATTCCAAGTGCAAAATTTGCACACGTTCTCTTCAAAAAGTGATATAAATAGATTTGATAGAATTTTTTTTCACCTATGCTGTCAAAAGTGACTTTCTTCAAATTTCTTCCAAATTCTGTATTAAAATTAAAAGGCAGGAGGATGCTCCTAGGGACCCTCCCACCCCATACTGAGTGCCTGAGTTCAAGTCCTACTCTGCCTCCAACTCCTGCTGCCTGCTTATGCGCCCCCTGGGAGGCACCAGACACAGCTCAAGTACCTGAGTCCCTGCCATTCACGTGGAAGATGCAGACGGAGTTCCAGATTCCTCGGCGAGCAGTAGACAGGGAGGGGACAAGGCATGGCACACCGGACACAGAGGTGGTTCACATCGCAGGCTGGATGGCACAAGATCTCATCACACAATGCAGACAGGTTGCCGGCGCCGCGGCTCACTAGGCTAATCCTCCGCCTAGCAGCGCCAGCACACCGGGTTCTAGTCCCGGTTGGGGCGCCGGATTCTGTCCCGGTTGCCCCTCTTCCAGGCCAGCTCTCTGCTGTGGCCCGGGAGTGCAGTGGAGGATGGCCCAGGTGCTTGGGCCCTGCACCCCATGGGAGACCAGGAGAAGCACCTGGCTCCTGGCTCCTGCCATCGGATCAGCGCGGTGCGCCGGCCGCAGCGCGCCGGTCCGCGGCGCCCATTGGAGGGTGAACCCAATGGCAAAGGAAGACCTTTCTCTCTGTCTCTCTCTCTCACTGTCCACTCTGCCTGTCAAAAAATAAAAAAAATAAATAAATAAAAAAGATCATAGATGTTAAAAAAAAAAACGCAGACAGATGTGCAATTTAAAGCCTGGAAGTTGCTTGCTCCTGGAACGTTCCTGCCTGCGGGTGATGGAAACTATGGAAAGTGAAGCAGAAGACAAGAGGGGACATCGGGTGGCCTGGGCGTTTGCAGTTCCGGGTCCTCGGGAGCTCTCTGCTGTGCCTGCAAGGGTGTCTTTAACTGTTTTCCCTACAAGCTCCAATTAAATCTTCCCTCCTCAGATTGCCCTAGTGCTTAGCACATGGCAGGTGTTCAGGAAGTACCCACTGACTGCTCTCGGCTGCCAGTTCCCTTACCTTTCACACTGGGGCATTGCCGTCCAGGAGCAAGGGGTCTGAGATGCAGCAAGTGGTCAACAAATGCTATTACTGGAGCAAGCATTGTGGAGCAGCGGGTGGACACCCACGTCCCGTGCCAGAGAGCCAGCTCGAGTCCTGGCTACTGCACATCCTGCGAATGCATCCAGGCGGCAGCAGGTGATGGCTCAAGTGATGGCCCTGTCACCTACGTGGGACACCTGGGTGGGAGTCCTGGCTCCTGACTTCACCTGGCCCAGCTTTAGCTGTTACGGAAATCCAGGGTGTGAGCACTGGATGGAAGATCTCTCTCTCTCTCTCTCTCTCTCTCTCTCTCTCTGTTGCTCCACCTTTCAAGGAGATGGAGATAATAAACAAACAGAAAAGGAATGGATGCTGCTGTGGTTATACATGCAGAGCAGGTGAGGACCGAGGCCTGCTGGAGGCAGGGACTGCGGGGCAGCTCAGAGTGGAGCAGGTGTCCTGGAACCCGGAGCGCCGGCCGGGAGGAACCAGCTTGAGCAGAGGCGTGGAGCAGGCATCGTGTAAAGGCGGTGGGGAAACCTGTGTGACTGGGTGAAGAGTAGGGGCGGGAAGGCGGGCCTTTAGCTCAGGGGTGAGGACACGGGTGGGATGCCCACGCCCCTCATCCGAGTGCCTGGGCTCCATACTTGCACTGGCTCCTGACCCCAGCTTCCTGCTGACGTGGGCTCTAGGAGGCCGCTGGGCTTCTGGATCCTTCCTTATGCCCAACTCAGCCCCAGCCATCAAGGTGGGTAGGAGATCTCTCTCTCTGTCTCTGTCTGTCTGTCTGTCTGTCTCTTTCTCATACATTAATAAATTTAATGTAATAAAGAATTAAACAGAGGAAGATTGGGGCCAACTCAGAGACGGCCTTGAATTTCAACCTAACCTATTTAAATTTGACCCTTAGGCAGTGTAGAGAGCTAATGAATGTTTTTGAGCAAAGAAGGCACCTGCAGTAGTGTTTTGGAAAGATTGATTATGGAGGCCGGAGCTGTGGCGTAGCAGGTAAAGCCACCACCTGCAGTGCTGACATCCCAAACGGTTGCTGGTTTGTGTCCTGGCTGCTCCACTTTTGATTCAGCTCCTTGCTAATGTGCCTGGGAAAGCAGCAGAGGATGGTCCAAGTGCTTGGGGCCCTGAACCCATGTGGGATACCTGGGAAAAGCTCTTGGCTCCTGACTTCTGCCTGGCCCAGTGTTGGCTGTTTTAGCCTTCTGGGGAGAGAATCAGCCGAAGGAAAATCTCTCTCTCTCTCTCTCTCTCTCTCTATATATATATATATATATATATATATATATATATATGTCGCTCCCCCTCTTCGTGGAGGAACAACACAGGACCCTGTGTTGTTCTTTCGTCTGCTCGGCCCTCCCCGGGTTTGCTGCTGGTTCTTCCCGGGTTGGCTACCGTCCCTTCCACCTCCGTGGAAGGGCGGTTCCCCCTGCCACATTCCCCACTTCCGCGGGGGAGCGGCACACCGCCGGCCGGCTCTCTCGGGGGCTGCACAGGTGTTCCCTCAGATAGATGTTCCCCTTAGATGTTCCTGGTGCATGTTGTCTCTCTCCTCCTTTATAGTCCTCTTCCACCAATCCCAACTCTGCTACCCACACGCCGAGTACGCTGCTCTCCTCCAATCAGGAGCAGGTCCTACAGTTTATTGGTTGAACTGGAGGCAGCTGCGTAGAAGCTGTTTCTCCCTTCCCAGCGCCATATTGTGGGAGAGCAGATGCATAGAATAAGTCTTAATTCCAGTAACTTAGTCTAGTCCGGGTTGCTCCCCACAATATATATCAGATAGACCAAGGGGTAAAGGAGAGGAAGCAGACGGCTCCAGTGCCTGGGTCCTTGCCACACCGTAGGAGACCTGGATGCGTTCCAGGCTCCTGGCATCAGCCTGGCCCAGCTCCAGCTGTTTTAGGAGTTTGGGGAGTGAACCAGCAGATGGAAGATCTTTCTGTCTCTGTATTTGTCTACCTTTCAAACAAAATAAAAATATATATATTTTAAGTATGACCATTTCATTCAGCTTCTATCTCTCTGATCCTGTGTGCAAGGAGATTAGCAGCAAGACAGGAGAGAGATCTGGATCTGAGCCTGGGCCCAGCAGCTTCCCACTGTCACTGAGCAGGTCCCTCCGGCTCTCTGAGCCTCAGCTTCTGCCCCCGTGGAATGGAGATGAGCGGATCTCTACCCAGCCTACCTCATCAGACGCCTGTGAGAATCAGAAGAAATAAAGAACGCACTCATGCACAAACTGAGCACCAACCAAGTGTCAAGTTCTTGATGCTGGGGAGACAGACATGCAGCACAAGTGTCCGGAAAGGGGACACGTGGTGACCAGTTATTGAGAGCTTACTGTAGACAAGCTCTTTCCACCTGTCATTGAATTCAGTCCGCAGCACACCATTGCCAGCTCGGACCTAGTATCAGACTTTTTTTTTTTTTTTTTTTTTGGACAGGCAGAGTGGACAGTGAGAGAGAGAGAGACAGAGAAAGGTCTTCCTTTTTGCCGTTGGTTCACCCTCCAATGGCCGCCGCGGCTGGCACACCACACTGATCCGATGGCAGGAGCCAGGTACTTCTCCTGGTCTCCCATGGGGTGCAGGGCCCAAGCACTTGGGCCATCCTCCACTGCACTCCCTGGCCACAGCAGAGAGCTGGCCTAGAAGAGGGGCAACCGGTACAAAATCCGGCGCCCCGACCGGGACTAGAACCCGGTGTGCTGGCGCCGCAAGGTGGAGGATTAGCCTAGTGAGCCGCGGCGCTGGCCAGACCTGTTTTTAACATGAGAGCAGAGGCTAGGCACCTCACCCACCGCCATTCAGCTCCCCAGGGCTCAAGGCTGACAGCTCCCACCCGTCCTTCGTCTGGTAGCTCCTTTTCCTGGTGGCCTGTCCCTGGTGTCCTGCCCTGGGAGCTCTCGCTCAGCTCTAATTCCAGCTCAGGCTTCGGGAAGCTCCCAGGATCCCTGATTGAGCCCCTGCTCCCCACAACCCCTATGGCACCAGGATGCTCTCGCTGGGCTCCAAGCCTTTGCAAAAGTGAGTGCCCCTGCAGCGAAACACATTTAAGCAGACACTCTAAATAGGCCATATGCACAGGCACCTGCCAATCACAAACACCAGGGAACTTCAAAAAGATTGTGGAATTAGAATAACTGAAGCATAGGTTGTCCGTTAGATGCACTTCCTCGAACTCTTTTAAGTCTCCCGCGGTATTAGTCTATCCTCCTTATTTATTTATTTATTTATTTATTTTGTGAGAAATAAATAAAAGATCCGGTCTCCTATTTTTTTTCTCCCAGGCCTCGTTGACCGCTGATGGATTAGGAGTGGGCCCTTGCGTGCGACCCCAGGCTTTGGAAGGCGGCTGGAGCTGGTCCCACCCTCCCATCGGCTGCCAGGGTCTGAGTACGCGGCAGTTCAGCCTCGCCCCGCAGGGGCAGAGCGGAGGTGGGGGGTGGGGGGCAGGCGCTGAGCCGGGATTAGCTCGGTGCCGCGGAGTGGCTAGAGCCGCGGTGCCACAGGCGGGCACGATGCCGCTGCAGGACGAGACCCTGCGGGAGGTGTGGGCCTCGGACAGGTGGGAGCCCCCCGACCCCCGGCCCCGCGGAGCACGGGTGCGGGGCTGGGGTGGGGGGAGCCGGGAGCAAGACAGGCCGCTTCCTTTCTCCCCGCAGCGGGCACGAGGAGGAAGGTCCCGGTCCTGAGGCTGAGCGGCGTCCCCAGCAGGTTCGCCACCCTTTGGGAGGGGCAGAAGGAGTCCCCGCCGCTGTCGGGTCGCGCAGGGCGGAGGTCCCAGGTGGAGCGGGAGTTGCACGTCGGAAGGTTCTGGGGGGAGGCTGTGTTCGGAGGCATGGGGTCTGGGGGCGTTGGGACACGGTGGGGGGAGCGGCGGTGCCTGGGAGGCGTCATCCTTCCCCTCCCCGAGAAGGGGCTGCAGGTCCCCTCCGGATAATCCACGGTTATTTCTGGCGGCTCAAGGGATTAGAGGGTGTCCGGCCGCCCTCGGAGCCGCCCCCGCTTTCCTCCTTGACCGCCCCCTCCACTCCGCAGCGACCCGCCCCGGGGCAGAAGTTGAGGAAGAAGAGGACCGAGGTGCCCGGGTCCCCCAGCGCCCCGGGATCCAAGCCCCGTCGACTCGGAGGTGGGCGGGAGCGAGGGTGCCCAGAGTGGGATGGGGACCCCGAGGGAGGAGCCTAGGGCGCGCCCCGAGGCTGCGGGAGGGGCGGGGCGCTGCGTCCCGGGCCCCGGGAAGCTGGGGGGCCCTCCTGAACCCCACGTTTCGGCTCAGCGGGGCGGAGGGGGCGGCCACGGGAGGAGAGCGCCCCCGACCCGGCCCAGGCCAGCGCGCCGCAGCCGAGCGTCTACGCCAAGTTCCTCCGGGACCCTGAGGCCAAGAAGCCGGACCCCCGGGAAACCTTCCTGGTAGCCCGCGCCCCAGGCGCCGCCGCCGATGGTGAGAGACGCAGCGCCACGCCACCGGGGAAAGGGGCTGAGTGGAGAGGAGGGGCTCAGGGCTGGCAGAGAGGCGGACCCCTACGCGAACTGCCAGCCTCCGGCCTAGCCTTGGAGCCAGGGCCTGTGCTAAGCACCACGGTTAGGAGATCGATGCTCTAAGATGTCCACTTTCCTCCGTTTTACAGATAGGGAAACTGAGGCACGGAGCGTTCGGGACGGAGGAGGGCAGGGGAAACGGGAGTGGGGGCAGCGAGAGGTGCAGAGTGTAAGGGGGGACGCGGCAGGTAGAGGGGTGGGGACTAGATAACAGGTTTCCTCGGCTGCGACCCCCTCTCCCCACAAGCCCAGCCCCTAACCGTGTGGTTCCAGGAAGGTTCCAGTATTCCCCCACCTGGCTCCAGCAGGCAGGCTCCTTCCCCGGTAGCAATCTGCAGGGACTGGGCTCCCCGGAGAAGGGGACCACCCTAGCGCCTGCTGTGAGAGGTTTCTACCTACAGAAGAGGAGGAGGAGGAAGATAAGGAGGAGGAGGATGAGGATGAGGAGGAGAAAGAGCAAATCCTTGGGCCTCCCAAGAAGCCTCCGAAAGAGAAGCCTTCTGCGGCCACCAAGGAGAGGAGAGCCAAGGCCCAGGGTAGGCGGGCTGGGTGTGGGTGCGGCACGGTGGGGACGCAGCCCCTGACTTTGGTGCATCATGGATGCACGGGAGCTGTGGCCTCCTGAGGGCCTCCAGCAGGGGACGTGCTGATTTTGAAAGGTGGAGAGACAGGGACAGAGGCAGAGAGACTGAGTTCTACCCTCCATCCACTTTTTCACTCCCCAGATGCCCACAACAGCTGGGGCAGGGGCAGGCCAAAGCCAGGAACCCAGAACTGTATCCTGGTCTCCCACATGGGTGGTAGGGACCCAAGTACTTGAGCCGCCGCCACCTGCTGCCTCCCAGGAGGTGGAGTATCCCAGATTCAAGCAGGCGCTCTGATTTGGGATGCAGGCACCCCCAAGCGGTGGCTTAACCACCATGCCAAATACCGGCCCCCAACCAGGAGGTCCCTAACCCCTGGCAGTCCTTGAAGACAAAGGCCAGTGTGTGCTCTATCCCATCCCTGCCCTTGTGCTCTGTAAGCACAAACTCCGTCCAGAGCTCCTACATGGAGCGGCAGGGACCCACGTGCTTGGGCCGCCATCCACTGTCTCCCAGGTGCGTTTTCAGGGAGCTGGATGGGAAGAGAGGCAGGACTGAACCCCAGGCACTCCAAAATGGGATGAGGACGCCCCAAGCAGCAGCCCACCCAACCGTGCTACAGTGCCTGTCCCTAGTTAACTCAATGTGAATGATGGTTATGATTTTAATAAAAGTATCAAAGTGATTACAGTAAAAAGAAATCAGTGGATAACTACAATGAGGCTTCCCCCAGCCAGCACTTCACCCGCCAGGCCCCCCCAGTCTGGTCTGAATGTGCACAGACCCCCAGAACCTTGGGCCTCTGGTGGAGGGAGAGCAGTCTGTAGCAGGCATCTTGTAGGAGGTAGGGTGGGAAGCAGGACCCAGAGGTAGGCCTGGCATTCTTTCATCCTCATTTGCTCATTCAGTTGCTCCTGGTTAAGCTCCTGGTTGGCCCAGTGCTTTTTTTTTTTTTTTTCCTTGGGAAAAAGTGGACATGAGCAGAAAGAAGGCCGCGGGCCCTTGTCAGGCATTCTGGCTCCCTTGGGGTGGGGGTGGGGGTGCATTGGAAAACAGCCTGCATAGGCTTCTTGTCTCCCCCCACCCCATCTTCCATGTCCAGGGGACCTGGGCAGCCCAGAGCTGGCAACAAAGAAGAAACCTCTCCGCACTAAGAAGAAGGAGGCCGCAGCTGGGGAGGGGACCAGGGTGAGGAAGGCAAAGAAGAAAGGTGAGCTGCGCCTGGAGGAGCAGGGCCCTGGGACGTGGCGGGGACTGTGACCTTTCTCGCCTACACCTGCAGGGCCCAGTGAGGCCGAGCAGGACCCCCCCGAGAGCCCGTCCGCAGTGAGGAAGAAGAGCCCGGCGGCCTTGTTTCTCGTTGGGGAAGGCAGCCCCGCCGAGAAAGCTTCAAAGAAGAAAGGTGAGTGCTGTGGCATCCGGAGAGGGGGCTGGGATCCTGGGGTGCTGGGCACCCCTGCCTCCACCCTGGGGTGCCCTACAGGAGATGCACAGGGCCTCCTGACCCCCACGTCGACAGCTGTGTGACCCTGGCAGGTGTGCAGCCGTCCTAAGGCCCTGACCGGAGTAACGGAGGGTACAGCAAGGGTCTACGTGAGATTTGGGGCTCACGGCCTTGTTTCCCCTCCATGCCCAGGTACACCCAAGGGCCCAGAAGAGGAGAAGAAGGAGGAAGACAGTGAGGAGGAGGCGGCGGCAGCTGTAGCAACCAAGAACAGCAACCAGAAGGGCAAAGCGAAGGGAAAGGGCAAAAAGGTTAGGTCCCAGGGCAAGGCCTGAGGTCCCGCAGGGAGCAGTGGCAGGGGCCTGGGGTCACCTTAGCTCCCCTCTGCAGCAGGTTACAAGGACAAAGCCCCAGCCTTAGGAGAACAGGAGAGGCACTGGTGGGATCACCAGGCTAGGTCTGGCCCGCTCATCTGGTATCTGAGGTCTCCCCTCTGCGGCATAACCATCAGACATAGCCGGAGAGGTCCCTACCAGTCCCACGTGAAGAGATAGGGCAGTGGCACAGGCAGGTGGTGGCACAGGTGTGCACAGCTCTGGACACAATGACTGGTGGTCAGCTCTGCCCAGGAAAACCTTTCTATGCTACTGCCCTGAGCTCCCCACCCAAGACCGCCCACCCACCCAGCAACCAAACAATCCAACAAGGACTGTCAGGGCCCTCCAGCCTCCACCTGAGAGCCCACTGGGCAATCCCGAGGGTCAGAGGAGACTTAAAGCTTGGGAATATGGCCCCAGCCCACAGAAGCTGTGCAGGAAAGGGAGGCCCATCTGAGAAGAGATATCCACACGTCTCCAAGGTGCAGGGCCCAGGTCTCGGCTCCATGGGTTTATTAGTCTGTGCAGGAGTGGCCAGGTCTTCGGGGACTGATTCACAGTAACCAAGATCACCAGGTGCCGATGTATAAAAGGAAAGTCCAGTTTATGACCTCCCCAGAGGGAGAATGTGACTGCAGGGCCGCCTCCAGACCCACAGGCCCTGAAACTCACAGCTGCCGGAGCTCTGGGATAAGTCCCGGCTGTCTTCAGGTCACATTCCAAACATATCTGTGTGTTTCCCAAGTTTCTTCTGGAACAGGCCGGGGTGGAGAATAGATGGTCACTCGCCCCCAGGGCTCCTGCCCGCACCCCAGGGCTGTCTGTGTTTCGCAAATAGCATCTGATTCTCAAAAGACCCAGCCCAGGTTGCAGTGCGTGCCGTCCCCTGTGGGGAGAGCTAGGCTGAGAATCCATGGGGCATAAATGTGGTTAGCCGGAAGTCTCTTTCTGAGCCAAGTCTCTTTACTCAGCCATGTATCGGCCAGGCACTGCTGTATAACAAAGCACCCCCAGACTCAGCAGCTTAGCAGGGCAGCTCGGCCCCAGTGGTCCCGGGAGGTGGTGGCAGAGGGGTCAGCAGGGCTACAGTGGCTCTGGGCATGACTGGAAATGAAGGGGGCGCTTCGCTGTCTCGGTTGCTGGCTATGACTCCCTCCCACCGCTGGGCATGACAGCCAACGTCTCCTGGAACCCAAGAGACAGAGCCAGAGGAGCCGAAGTATCTTTTGCCACCCAGCCTTGGAAGTGACCCTCCCCCACACTGCTTCTTCCAACCCTGATAGCCTGTGCAGGCGGGCGCCTCTCAGGGGCCACTGGGGCCATCTGGGAGGGAGGCTGGCCACCACGTTCAGGAGGGCGTGCTGTGTCAAGAATCCTAGTAGGCGATACTTGCATGGGCTTGCCCTGCGCTGGGACACAGCTGTGTCCTCGGGAGGGAGGCCGTCTCAGGCTGGGCTGCACCTCTCCCCAAGCTGCTTCACTTCTCTGAACCTCAGCTTCCCCGTCTGAGCAGTGGAGACAACCGCCCCTGTGGGTTCTTGAGAGGATGAAATGAGTTCGGATTTGGAAAGGGCTTAGAACTATACGGCGCACTGCTGGCGTTTACGGGGCGCGGAAATCCACGGGGGCCTGTCCCAGGTGTCCACCCTCCCCATATCCACTTCTCAGATGAGAAAAGCGAGTCACAGCATGGTTAAGACAGAAACAGGACCCTCTGTGGCGGGCCCTGGACTGGAATCCAGACTGGCTCCAGAGCTTGGACCCTTGCCCATGAGCTAAACAAAATAACAAAGCAAAGTTTCAGGGAGCCCCCAGGAGCGGGCCTGCTGGGCTGCTGGGAAAAGTAGGGGGCAGGGGGCCCTGCTGTAAATGTGTTTCCCTGCGTACATAAAGCAGCTGGTGGTCTGGCCCAACTTGGGCCCATCCCACTTCCCCACCCCTGCACACACACACACACACACACACACATGCACACACACCCCTCGCGCTTGCCCAAGGCCTGCTGGGGTTGGGGTTGGGGGCGGAGCTGCAGGCTGAGGCACCCTCTGTCCCACGCAGAAGGAGGAGAGGGCCCCGTCTCCCCCCGTGGAGGTGGACGACCCCCAGGAGTTCGTGCTGCGGCCTGCCCCCCAGGGCCGGACGGTGCGCTGCCGGCTGACCCGAGACAAGAAGGGCATGGACCGGGGCATGTACCCCTCCTACTTCCTGCACCTGGACGCCGAGAAGAAGGTAGGCAGAGAGGCAAACAGGGCAGTGCGGCTGCCAGGCCAGGCTGAGCGAGGGCCACCCTGCCCTCTGCCCCATTGCCTGGCCCCTCCCCCCACCCCGTCTCCCACCTGCCTCCCCTCTCTCCAGGTGTTCCTCTTGGCTGGCCGGAAGCGGAAACGGAGCAAGACGGCTAACTACCTCATCTCCAGCGACCCCACCAATCTGTCTCGAGGAGGGGAGAATTTCATCGGGAAGCTGAGGTGGGGCCGGGCATGGGGCGCGCGTCAGCAAGGGGGCCATGACTCGCCGCCTCGCGTGCTCTGTGCCGCCAAGCCCGCCCACCTCATGGGATGCCCTGCACCTGTCCCAGGTCCAGGGTTCTCACGCTTTGATATGCAAATGGCTCAGTGGGTCTGGGGCGGCCTGAGGGCTTTCGTCTCTAGTGAGCACCTCCGGGAGGCTCACCTGCTGTGGGGCGGGGCTTAAGCTCCATCCATGAGGGCAGGGGCCACACCTGTCTCCTTTGTGGTTGAATTCCTAGCACCTAGCACACAGTAGGTACTCAGTAAATGAGGCACGATTGTGCTGTGTCTGCTCTGCTTGTCACCCAGGCCTCAGAGGTGCAGACAGAGCTGGCTCCCAGCCAGGTCCTTATTTCACGCTTGTGTTTAACAAAAGTCGGGGCATGACTGTGTCAGGGAACTTGCAGAACAACTTTTTTTTAGTTTGAAAGGCTGAGTGGCCCAGAGAAAGAGAGAGACAGACAGAGGGAGAGAGACAGATATCTTCCATCTGCTGGTGCACTTCTCAAATGCCCGAAACAGCTGGGGGCTGGGCCAGGCTGAAGCCAGGAGCCCAAGAACTGCATCTGGTCTCCCACATGGCCGACAGGGGCCAAGCACTTGGGCCATCTGCTGCTGTCTCCCAGGGTGCACATTAGCAGGGAGCTGGATCAGAAACGGAGTGGCTGGGATTCTTACTGGCACTCTGATGTGGCATGTGGGCGCCCCGAAGCAGCGGCTTAACCGCTGCACCACAATGCCCACCCCTACTTCCAAATGTTAGCCCACGCAATCCTCTTAGCAGCCGAATGAGGGAAATACTGTTGCTGCGCCCAATTTACGGATGGGGCAGTCGAGGCTTGGAGTTTGAGTGACCTGTTGAAGGTTACACAGCTAGTAAAAGATGGAGCTGGGATGTGAATGCTGCCTGGTCTGGCAGCTGTAGCTTCTAAACAGACCTCCCCATAGCGGGCAGCCTGGGGTAGGAGACATTAATCGCTCAGGTCTAAGACACCGTGGACACAGGAGCTGTCAGAGCTGCCTAGCTTGCAGGGTCTTGGGGCCCCCAGCTCCCTGCCTCTGCTTGCAGGTCCAACCTCCTGGGGAACCGCTTTACCGTCTTTGACAACGGGCAGAACCCGCAGCGTGGAGGCAGCGGCACGGACGTGGGCAGCCTTCGGCAGGAGCTGGCGGCCGTGATCTATGTGAGAACCCTGCCTGCTCCCACCCCCACCACGCTGCTCCCCACACTGGGAGGGGAGGGCTGACCTAACACACACCTCCCTTCCAGGAAACCAACGTGCTGGGATTCCGCGGTCCCCGGCGCATGACCGTCATCATTCCAGGCATGAGCGCGGACAACGAGAGGGTCCCCATCCGGCCCCGAAATGTGAGCCCCGCACCCGAGGGCCCTGTCTGCTGTGAGACCCACTGGTGGGGGAGCGGGGAGGCAGAAGGATGGGGGCTTCGCTCACCCCCGTCCCACCCCCAGCACCCCCACCCCCTGCAAGTATTATGCCAGGCACCTGAGACCTGCCCCATTGCAGCTGGAATTCTAGTAGCAGATGACAGAGCAGGCAGATACCGCGATGACTGAGGCAGGTAGGGAGCAGGTTAGAAAGGAAGAAAAAGGTGAACAGGAGGACAGTGGCAGGTGTGTGCCCAGTATCAAACAGGGCGGTCGGGTGGGTCTCGCAGACAAGGCGGGGGTTGCACAGGGTCTTGGAGGGGAGGGAGTGAGCCTGGAGGTATCTGGGGGCTGAGCGTTCAGACAGGGTCCAGCCACTGCAAAGGCCCTGAGACAGAGTGGCTGGTGGGCTTGAGGAACTAGGTGGCCAGGGCGGCTGGAGGGAGGTACACGTGGACAGGGGAGGCCGGGGGCAGACACGGCCTCGTGCCCAACTGGCTGTCACTTGCAGAGCAATGGGAGCAGGATTTTGAGTGAGGGAGTGGCGTGAAGTGTTTGTAAAGGCAAAGGTTGCGCGTGTCAGGTGCAGGGGGAGACGGGGAGTGGCCCCACCGTGCCGTGGCCTCCCCCAATGCCAGTCCTGCACCCTGCTCTCCAGCAGGCCCAGGAGTTCAGAGTGGGGTAACGTGCTCACAGGAGACTGATGTCACTTTACTCATTTAAAATGAAAAATAATACGCCTGTCAGCTGACTGCACATCTTTCCCACTGGAAAGTCACACCATCGGCAGTCAGAGGCCAGGCTGACCTGTGGGGCGCCGGCCCTGGGAGGGTTTACTTAGCCTGTGGGTCCCTCAGTTGCTCCTTCCACGCCTGAAATAAACACACAACCCTCCTGGACCCAGTGCTGCCTGCCTATTTGGGCACGGTAAGAAGTGTGCAGTGCTGCTTTGGGTCTTGTCATCAGCCTGTGGTGCGTTCATTCCACGGACTCTGTGTCAGGCACCGGAGAGCAACAGAGCAGTTAGCAAAATAATGTCTGATAGGCACCACGCACCAGGAACTGGTCCAAAAAACACGCCACACGCTGTTCACTTACACGGTCCTCACAACACTCCACTGTGAGGGAAACTGAGGCATAGATACATGAGTAAAATACCATTCCTGCTCTCAGAGTGTCTCATCCTGTCCATTGCAGTGCAGTGGGAGGAGTGGGAAGCCCGAGCCTTCTGGAAGCTCAAGGCTGATGGGTCAGGAAGCCTTGGAGGAGGTGACCTTGAGAGCTTCCCGCTCAGCCATGAATGTGAACAGGGAACAGGAAAGTCGGCAGGGAAATAGCTCCAGACGCGGCCCCTGTCTTTTAGAAGCTCTTCCCCGTGGACATTTTCTTTTAATGATTGCTTACCTGTCCGTCTCCCCAAGCTCACCTGTGAGTGCCTCCTAGCTCTAGAATGCCTGGCACATTCTTGAAACCAGACGCCAGCCAGTGGCTGCTTCCTGTACTCATGGGTACCTATGGCGCAATGGGTTTGAACAGATAAATATTAAGCACCAAGTATTACTCTAGCACCTGGAAGATATCAGTGAACAAAACAAAGATCTGCCCTCTTCTTAAAAAAAATTTAAAGGTGTATTTATTGATTTGAAAGGTGGAGAAACAGAGACAGATTTTCCATCTGCTGGCTCATTTCCCAAATGCCAGCAACAGCCAGGGCTGGGCCAGACTGAGCCAGGAGTCAGGAACTCTATCCGGGTCCCCCATGTGGGTGGCAGGGTGTCAAGGACTTGGCCCATCTGCTGCTGCCTTCCCAGGTACATTAGCAGGGAGCTGAGCCATAGCTCCGATATGGGATGCTGGTGTTGCAGGCAGCAGCTTAACCCGCTGCAGCATGACACCAGCCCCGAAGGTTTGGCCTCCGGAAGCTGGCATTTTAGTGGAAGAGATAGTAGAGAGATTGTGTCCGATGCCCCTTTCCATTTTCCAGCCTTCCACCTTGGCATCCCACAAAGCCCCCTTCTCATAGACGTGCGCCCTGCCTCCTGCCAATGCCCAAGCCTGCTCTCAGGGTACCCTTGATGGACATCCAGACCCAGGCTGTATGGCTGCTTACACATGCCAGGGTGTGCACGGGTGCCCAGTCCTCTTCTGTGTTCAGTCCTGAGCCATCCAGGCCACTTCTAACTGTCTTCTCCCTCTTTATCTCCGGGGGCTGCAGGCCAGTGATGGGCTGCTGGTGCGTTGGCAGAACAAGACATTGGAGAGCCTCATTGAGCTCCACAACAAGCCACCTATCTGGAATGAAGACAGTGGCTCCTATACCCTCAACTTCCAAGGCCGGGTCACCCAGGCCTCGGTCAAGAACTTCCAAATTGTCCACGCCGATGACCGTAAGTACCTGAGGGCCCAGCCCAGGCCTTTCCCCGTTCTTTCTTTCCCCTTATTATTTTTTTTAAAAGATTTTTATTTATTTATTTGAGAAGTAGAGTTATAGACAGAGGGAGACAGAGAGAAAGGTCTTCCATCTGCTGGTTCACTCCCCAGAATGGCCACAATGGCCAGAGCTGAACTGATCCGAAGCCAGGAGCCAGAAGCTTCCTTCAGGTTTCCCACGTGGGTGCAGGGGCCCAAGCACTTGGGCTACCCTCCATTGCTTTCCCAGGCCATCCCAGAGAGTTGGATGGGAGGAGGAACAGCTGGGTCTCGAACCGGCGCCCATGCGGCACCGCAGGTGGAGGCTTAGCCTAAGCCACAATGCTGCCTACCTCCTTTCTCTTTCACGTCCCATAGCTTGGCCCTAGCCTCCGGGTCACTTCCTCCTCCCTGGCTGTGACACTGCTCCCAGGAGCCTCAGATATCCCAAGCAGACGTCCTGGGACTCATGGTTCCAGGTTCTGGTTCTGCCACTGGTCAGAGCCGTGGCTGCACACTGGAACACTCTGGGTGAGACTGTGTCGAAATGTGTTGAGCGGCTGGAGTTTGCAAGCCAGAGAGCCCAGGCCCTTTGTGGTCATAGAAGGAGCTGAGGCTCCCAGGGGGTACCCTATGCCCAAAATCTCAGCTCCCCCAGGCACTTACCCTGGCCCTCAAAATGTCATTTACTGAACACGCAGAGTGCTTTCGGCATGCCAGGCACTGTTCTCAGGATTTCACAGATACTGAATCTTAATTCAACAACTCTGTGAGAGGTTACTATTACTTCACTTCCATCCTGCCCTCTGCTTAGCTCCTGGCTTTGGCCTGGCCCAGCCCTGGCCGTTGTGGCCTCTTATAGAGTGAACCAGTGGATGGAAGATCTCTTTCCCTCTCCTTTTCTCTCTGTAACTCTGGTTTTCAAATAAATAAATAAATAAATCTTTTTTTAAATGGCTATAGCAGGAATTTTTTTTAAAAGATGTATTTATCCGAGGGATTGGTGTTGTGGTGTAGCAGGTAAAGCTGCTGCCTGCAATGCTGGCGTCCCCTATGGATGCCTGGCTGCTCCACTGCTTTCCAGATCCCTAATAACGGTCTGGGAAAAGCAGCAGAAGATGGCCCGAGTACTTGGGCCCTTGCACCCACATGGGAGACCTGGACAAAGCTCCTGGCTTCAGGCTGGCCCAGCACTGGCCATTGTGGCTATTTGGAAAGTGAACCAGCTGATGGAAGATCTCTGTCTCTCCTCCTCTCTGTAACTCTGATTTTCAAATAAATAAATAAGTCTTTAAAAAAAAAAAAAGACTTATTTATTTGAAAGGAAGCGTGACACAATGAGAGAGGAGAGAGAGACAGAGAAATCTTCCATCTGCTGGTTCATGCCCCAAATGACCACAATGGGCATCACTGGGCCGGGCTGAAGCCGGGAGTCTGGAACCCCATCTGGGTCTCCCACGTGGGTGACAGGCACTCAGATACTTGGGTCATCATCTCTGCCTTGCCAGCTGCATTGGCAGGAAGCTGGACCCAAAGTGGAGTGGCCGGGACTCAAACCTGCACTCTGACGTGGGAAAGGGGTGTCCCAAGCTGCAGCTTAACCCGCTGTACCACAAGGCTGGCCCTGTAACAAAGAATATTAATCCAGCATTTCTGAGGGTTTACTCTAAGTCTTTTCCCAAATGAGGTCAAAGGCCTACCCTCAAGGAGTTTGGAAAACAAGATGTACTGGGAACACCGCTAAGTAAAAATGTCCCTGTTGCAATTCTAGAGGAGAGGTCCCCTCTGGGGTGAGAGTTTGGGACTCCACCTTCTCAGGGTTGGGCCCACACAGCCCCTCCGCCACTGCACCCCAGGGACGTGCCCCTACTGTCACCTGCCCAGTGAGCTGGGGGCTGACCGCTCTAGATCACTTTTCCGGTTTGGGGTTGTTGTATTGTCAGCAGCTTCTGAACCTGATGGAAGCTGGGGGAGGTGTTGAGATTGGGGCTGGGAACCTGGCCTGGCCCCGAGAAAGGATGAGGGTGAGTGGGGTCACTGGCCGAGGTCAGGAAGGGGGCAGGGGGTGAGCCCAGCATCTCAAGTGGGGCTTGGGGGCTGGGATGGAAAAAGGTTGGAAAGGCAGGGTTCTGGGCTTGGCTGAGCTTGACAAGGTACTTCAGTACTCGATGAAGTGGCTGCTAGAGACATGGCCCTGGGCCGTCACCGATAAGGTCCCTGCCCTTGGGGGTGTACAGCGTAACAAGCCCTAAAGCTACAGGTGGGGCTGGTTGGGTGAGATAAGAAGGGGGGATGGGTGGAGGGGCAGTAGGGAGATGGAGACTGAGGCTTGGGGGTCCAATGCAAAGAGGGGAGATCTCCCCCCCCACACACACACCTTGAGGGCGCTGTCTGCCAGGATCCCGGTCAAGGGAGTCTCAGTCGCTCTCCGCTTGTTGTCTTCAGCCGACTACATCGTGCTGCAGTTCGGCCGCGTGGCGGAGGACGCCTTCACCTTAGACTACCGGTACCCACTGTGCGCCCTGCAGGCCTTCGCCATCGCCCTCTCCAGTTTCGACGGCAAGCTGGCTTGCGAGTGACCCCCAGCCGGCGGCCAGAGACTCCCGCAGGGTCCCTCCACGGAAGCCCCAGCGGGCGACTCCCCCCTTCCCCACACACACACCCAGTTGGAGGCTGACTCCTCACTGCCTCTCGGTGACTTCCGTCCTCTCCCCAATCTGGCACAGCCCCGGCAGGAGGGGCTCCGGCGGCCGGTGGACCAAGAGGAAGAACATCTGGGTTCGGAGCGGCACATCTGCAGCGGAGTCGGCCCGCGCCGCGCCCGCCCCGCGCCCCAGTCACTTCCTGTCGGGAGCAGTAGTTGGTGTTGTCTTAACCTCCTCCCCCTACACTGGGGCAGCGCGAGGCCGGGGAGCCGGGGCGCGTGGGTGACGGGGACTAGGACCAGACGCCCACATCTCCAATAAAGCCTTGTTCCTGGCTAAGGGCATCGGGGGTTCCTTGGCGCGCATGGAGACCGGGGCGCCGGCGCGCGGAGATCCGAGAGCGGCTCCGCGCCGCCTCCTGCCCAGGCCCGGGCGTGCCCGTCGCGGGTCCTACCGAGACTCGGAGGGCGAGCGGCGTCCAGACGTTCCCCCCCACCCCCCCACCCCCCGCGCACTGGGGGCCCGGGGAAGCTGGGCTGAGAGGGAGGGCCCCGGAGGTCCGGGAAGAGGGAGAAAGGGAGAAATTCGAGAAACAAGCCTCTCGGGGAGAACCAGACAAACCGGGTCCGGGCAGGGCGGGCGCAGCCGTCAGGGCGGAGCTGGGCTTGGGGCCCCGGGAGCGGGGGGGGGGGGGGGGGGGGGGCAGCTCGCGGGCGGGAGGGGGCGCCCTGCCCGGGCGGCTCGGGCCGGGGGTTGGGGGCCGGGGGCGGGGGGATAGGCAGCCCCTAGGCCCGTGTGCTGCGGCTCCACAGGGCTGCTCGTGACGCGGCACCCAAGGCCCCCTCACCGAGGGGAGCCCGGCCTGCGAGGCGGGAGCTCCGCCCTCCGCCCCGCCCCAGGCCGGAGCCCCAAATTCTGCAGAGTGCTAGGGAGTGGTAAGGCCCAGCGCACCGAGGCAGGTGGGACGCGTCGCTCCGGCGGGCGGCCCAGGGGCGCCCAAGCCCGGCGGGCTGGCCACTGGGGTCCCGGGGTCCCGCGTTCGCCGGCTGGGCTGCCGGAGCGCCGACGGGGGGCGGCCCCGAGCGGCCCCGCCCCCAGCCAGGGTCCGCCCCCCGCGCGCCCCGCCCCCTCTGCCGCAGCCCCCACCCCCCGCCCCGGCTTCTCAACACAAACTTTCCGTCCCGCTCGCTCCCTCCTCCGCTCCCGGCGCCTCCCGCTCCAGCCCGGCTCATTCCGCACATTCCGGCCAGCCCCCTCCCCACGACCCCCCTTCCCCGGCCCCCCTCTCGGCCCCCTCGGGGCCCGGGGGGAAGCGGGCCCGGGCCGGGAGCGCCCCCCCCGAAGCTCGGGACCCAGGTAAACCCGGGGCGGACGCCCGGCAGGAGGCCCTCGCTCCGGGGAGAAAGGGATTTGGTTTGTTTGGTTTTGGATGGGGGGCCCCTTGAAGAGGGGCCTGGGGTTCCCCCAAACTATTTGTCCAGCCGGAGCCGGAACCCCCCAGAATGTGGGGGCCCCGGGAAGTTTTAGAGGGAAAGGGGGAGGGCGATTTTCTCTTCCCGGGAAAACCCCGGCCCCCCCGGCAACCCCCCCCGCGCCCGGGGCGAGTTGGTCGGGGGAGGTGGGGAAGCCGGGCGATTGTGTCCCCCGTGCGGTCCGCGGCGCCGCCGGCCGCGCTGGGAGTGCGGGCTGCGGGACTGGGGGCCTTACGGCTTGCCGGGCCTGCCACCCGGGAGCTGGCATCCGGGGCGCCCAATCCCGGGCCCCGCCGCCCTTTGGACTCCCGGCCCGCGCTCTCCTGGAGCCCGCCGGGCCCCAGCTCCGCGCAGGCCTCGGGCCCGGCTCCTGGCGCCCAGGCCGGTTCCTGCGCGCGGTGTCCGCGGCTGCGCTGGGTTTGCCAGGGAGCGAAGTTGCGCGCTCTGGGCGTGTGCCTCCCCAACCCCGAGAGGCAGAGGCTCAGCTACCCTCCAGCTCCACCGTCTGCGTCGGCGTGGGGGCTCCGAGCTCGGAGCTCAGTGCGCCTGGCTGTGGAGAGGCCCGCAGTGGGGCCTTTTCGCCCGCACGTCCTGAGGGCCCTTGTTTATAGACTTCAGAGGGTTAGAGGGAGGCGAGTCCCCTACATCGTCTGCCCTACCGGGCCTGGTGTATTCCTGCCTGGTGCTGGGCCTTCCCAGCCAGGCCCTGGGGCAGGGTCGTGGAGACCCCACTCTGCCACCTTTCCTGGAGACGAGTCTGATGCCCGGCTGAGATTGTTTCAGGGTCTGGAGAAAAGAGGCCTTGGGGAAGGGCTTCTCAGGGTCTCACCTCTCTCCAGGTAAGGGCAGAGTCTGCTCAGGCCTGGACTTGCAGCCCAGGAGAACAGGGGATGAGGGTGGGGGCCGGACACAGCACAGAGGGGCTGGTGCCCGGGGCTGCCGCCTGTAGGGCCTGCTGCCTCCGGCTCCGTGAACACATGTTCCACCTCATTGCCGGCCCAGGACACTGGGGGCAGCCTGGGGCAAAGAGGGACGGCAGAGCTCCCCAGAAACTGCCCGTCTGGGGCTACTATGTGCCCCTCCTGTCCCAAGACCCCTCCCCTAGAGGCACCCCCCCGGAGGACGTGGTCATGTGTTCTTCTGGGCCCCTGCCTGCCCAGCCAGGACGGGGCAGATGTGTCTTTCAGGACTAGGTTATCTTCAGGGGTGCCTTCCTCAGGGAGGGGCTGGAGCCTTCCTCAGCTCTCCTAGGGAGGGAACCGTAATTAATGCTAATTAGCGCACTTGGGCTGGGGAAAGGCTGAGCAGAGTGGTCAGTGGTTAGCAGGAGGGAGCTGTGTGCGCGCGCACTTTGCACGCTGAGTCCTGCTCCCACCCTCGCCCTCGGGTGTGCAGACCCTGGTGCATCCTGCTGTCGACAGAGAAGGTCGAGAACCAGGACTGTGGTCCCAGCTGGACCTCCAACAGGCCGGGTCACCTTAGCAGGCCCTTTGGGCCTCGGTCTCCCTGCTTGGAATACGTAACTTCTCAGGTCCCTGATCTCTGATCTCCTCCCAGAGACTCTTTCTCCATCTGCCTTCTTCCTCCGCCTGAACCCTGTGGGTTCCAGAGAGGTGAGTGGGTGAAGCAGCCAGAAAGTGACCCAAGGAAGGAGGCAGGAACCAGCCAGGGGGCCGCTGAGGAGGGGCCGGAGCAGGTGGGCCCAGCTGAAGAGGCCAGGGACAGGCAGGCCTGGGGGAGTTGGGGGAGCTCATCTGTTCAAGAGGCAGTGGGATCTGCCCCTCTCTCCCACTCCCAGCCCCCTCTGGGACCCCCTGGAGGTTCAGTGTAGCTGCAGGCCCAGAGGAGAAGCAGTCCAGCTGCCCACCTCCTGGCTCAGGAGGGGGAGGAGCAGAGGGGTCAGCACACGGTGAGCAGAGTGAAGGGAGCTGGTGGTGCCAGGCCCCAGGGAGGGGGGGGCCAGCTTCCTGTGTGGAGGTAGCGGGGAGGTCCCAGCCTCCTTTTCCCACATGAGATGGCAGAAACTGGGTCTCAGGGGCGGCCCGGAGAATCCAGGCCTTTGAGCGGCCGCTTCCCCAGCCAAAGCTGGGAAGATTCGTGGGTCCCACCAGACCCTGGCCCCATGGCCTTGCCCGCCCCTCCCACCCCTCCTGGTGCTGGGCCAGCTGAGGAGCATCTGTGTGCAGGAGAAGCTGCTGTCCGCTCTGGGGAGGATGGCAGAGGAGCACGGACCCTACCTGCCCGCGTGGCTGCAGCCGGGCCCCCCTGCACATCCCCAGAGCCTGGCCTTGGTGTTTCCTCGACTGCCCGATTGTTTCCTGTGCTCCCTGCCAGGCCCGAGAGGACAGGAAGTGATAGAGGGAAATGGGAGTGCAACTGTGTGTGACGCCGAGAGTGTGAGAGGAGCTGGGAGCGGGGAAGGCTGCGTGCGGGGCTGCGTGTGTGGTGGGCTGAGACTGGGTGCGAGCCGCTGTGCCACACCGAGTGTGTGACTGGTGGTGTGCACCAGAAGACCGGTGGGTCTGGGTGTGCCGCTGCATGTGACTGCCGGTGACACAGGTGTGTGTGTGTGTGTGGGAAGCACAGACTTAGTCCTGTGGTGTCACTGCCTGGGACCTGGGTGCTGCAGGCCTGTGCGTGAGAGGGCTCCGGTTTGTCTCTGTGTGACCAGTCCGCCACGGCACGACCCGCGGGCAGGCCACATCCCCGTGTGTGAAGCGGGGTGCAGCATGAACTCGTGTGCGGGCGCCATGGGGGGTGGGACTGAGACAGCCGTGTGGGTGGTCACAGAGCGTGTGTGGGTGACGTCCTCGGTGGCTGTGCCAGGCAGGGCCTGGGCACCCTGTGGGACGCCCATACGTGTGACTATGTGGAAAATTCTGGAAAAGGTGCTAAGACTGGAAGAAGGGATGACGTGGCTGAAATGGTACATCTTAAGTGTTTTTACCAAAATTTAAAAAAAATGTTTTTAAGCCAGTAAAGAGCAGAGTGCAGGTAGGAGAATGTGGCTGGCTGCAGGCAGACTGTGAGAGGGAGAGCAAGGGCTCTAAGAAGCTGGTCTTCGCAGAAGCGGCTCTTCTGGTGGGGAGCTGACCCGGTGTCTGGTGGCAGCTCACTGGATGACCAGGGTCAGGGCTGGGAGGCAGGGACACTCACTCAGGAGGTGACTGAAAACTGTGAAGCCTGGAGCCACCCCCCTCCCTGCAGTCTGTCCCCCACTGGACACCTGGGAGGATCCCCTCCCTGGAAGGGGGGCCAGATGAGGGGACAGGGCAGTCCCCGGGAGGGGCTAGGGGAAGTCGGGGAACCGAGCCCCTCCTCTCTGGGCAGGGAGCCTGCCCATGGATGAGAAGGGAGCCCAGGGGTCCACCGCCCCCAGAGAGCCCCTGCCCCATGTTCTGGGGGAGGAGGGGTGCGGAGTCTGGATTCCCAAATTAGAAGCATATTAATAAGCAGGGGTGGGGGGAGGAGGCCCCCACTCGTTCCTCGTGGCCTCTGCAAATTGCTTCCTCCTGGAGAAATCAAGCCCCTGCTCCAGGGAGGAGGGTCCTCCCTCCCCAGCCTGGCAGGGTGTGGCCACTTGGCAGGGTCTCTCTGGGGTCCTTGGGCTGGAGGTGGGGGAGGCAAACGCTGTCCCTCCCCCTCCGCTACCCCAGCCTGGTCCCAAGCAGAGCACAGCCACTTCTGGGGTGGAAGCCTCTGGCAGCTGGAGAACAGCTGGCCTGCCGTGGGGGCGGGGTGGGGAGGCAGAGGGGGTGGGGAGCTCCTGGAGCCTTCCTCAGCTGCCCTTCCGTGTCCCCAGCCCCCGGCTGGGCAGCCTGGCCCACCCGGAGTTGAGGGCAGGGGCTCCGGGAGGAAACTGCTGATTTTGCTGATCTTCCCACACTCTGAGCGAGGGCATCACCCAGGGGGAGAGCATTTGGGGGCTGGGGTCCCTGCCAGGGCGGAGAGCTGCTGTCTGCTAGACCCAGCAAGGCCATGGCTCAGTCTGTCCTCCCTGCGGGATGCATGTGGGGGTGGGGGCGGGGTGCAGAGGAGCCCACCTGCCCCAACTTGCCTGGTCTGCCCCTCTACCAGGGCAGCGCTCTGAGCCCACACTTCAGACCTGTCCCTCCTTCCCCCTAGAGAGAGGCTAGGTGGTCTGCACGCTGCAGGGCTGATGGGGGTGGGGGTCCAGGGCCTCTGTAGCTGCCCTGGCTCTGGCCTCCTCCCTGGAGCTGTCCAGCCAGTTCTTCCAGCAGGTCTGGCCCCAGGGTGGGGAGTGGGCAGCAGTGTGCCCCTTATCTCCCTGGGGGCCCCAAAGCCTGCTCGCCCAGCCTCCTAGCCCCCATCCCTGCCACCACCCAGAGGCACCTTCTGACCCCGGAAGGCTGAGGGCCACGGGCCAGGGACAGCGGGGCGTGGCTGGTCCGGTGGAGGGTGAAGGTGGAGTGAGCTGCCTTCTGCAGGGGGAGATGCGGGCTGGCTGTGTGGGGAGGGACAGGGCTGGAGATGTCCTGACTGCAGCCCCAGCAATGCACCCCCCATCACTCCCTCCCTCTGGCTTTCTGTCTTGTGCCTCCCTTGCTAGCACCTGTCCATGGGAGTGCATTGGCCTTTCCCTTCACGCCCCCGACTCCCGCTCTGATCTCTCTCTGGGTCTTCGTGGGGGCGATCACGGACTCTGCTCCCTTTCGTGTCCCTCTCTGGCCAGCTGTCTGTCTGTGGGTCTCACTGCCCCTCCAGCCTGTTCTGCCTCTGCCTCTCTGCACAGTTCACCCTGCAGGCCTCCTGGTGACTCCCCTGCCAGTCCTGGTGGGCCCTGCTCTCTCTGCCCCTGGCCCTGCAGGCCTCTGTCCGCACTCCTCTCCCAGGCTCTGGACACCTGCCCCTCTCTGCCTGTGGGGCTGCCCTCCTGCCCCCAGCAGGATGTCTCGCCTTCTGCCTGTCATGAGCCCACGTCTGTCAGGGAGCCCATGCTGGCAGGCTGGATCCCCGTGGTGCTGGGGTTTAGCGGGGGTGGGGGGTGGGGGGTGGGCACATGCTTTGCCTCTGCTCTCACCCCCAGCACAGCAGCCCCAACTTCCTTGCCCAAGCAGACTTCCTCCCACCGCTCCTGAGTGGAGGCTTCACATGAGACCCCCGTTCGGCCTCTGCCTGCCAATGCCCACCTGTGTGCCTCACTTGAGGGTGCAAGTGTGACCCATGCCCACGTGTGTGCCCATGCGTGGCTGTGTACTGGGGCACCACCTGCCTGCTGCCCCTGGCGACTGCCTTTGCCCCAGAGCGTTCCTAGAAAGTGGATCCTGGGTGTGTCTCGGGGCAGGCACGGTGGTGGTCCCGCTAGTCTACTGACCCGACCTGTGGGCCGCCCCCGCCTCCCCTCCCCCTCAGCAGCTGCCAGCCGTCCCAGCCTGGGGCTGCCCGCCCCGCCCCCCCAGGCTGTCCCAGCTCCCAAGCGCTGCGTTAGCCATATTTGGCCACAGTGCTCCCGCGGGGGGCGGGGCGGGGCTGACATCACCCGGAGGGGGGGCGCTGCTTAGGGGGAGGCGGGCAAGTTGCTTTCAGAGCTGCCAGGCCCCCCATGCGCCCCGCGCTGCTCTGAGGGAAGCCGCAGGGCTGGAGCTGGAGGGGAGCGGGCTGAGGAGCAGGCTGGGAGAGGTCTCAGCTCTTCACAGCTGCTGGTCTGCCCTTGGTCTGCCCCTCAGCCTCTGCCCCTTGTGCTTCCCAGGCCCAGCGTTCTGCCCAAGGCTGAGGGACTGGCCGGGGAGAGCAGGGACCCTCCGGGACTCCGGGGGCCTCGCAGCGTGGGGTCCGAGCAGGGCTGGCACGCCTGGACCCCACTGCAGACTGGAGGCAGTTGCTGGGACAGCCAGGCCTCCTGGCCCACCCCACGGTGGAGGGTTTCTGCCCCTCCCCTCATCCCACTTAGTTCACAGACTGAAGCCAGATTCCCTGGCTCCAGGATTCAGCTCTAGCCTTACGTGCTGTGTGTCCTTGGCAAGTTGTGTAACAACTCTGTTCATCGAGTAGACGTAATGGGTGTCTGCCCATAGGGTTCTTGTAAGGCTAAATGAGGCAGTGCAGGTGGACTCTCAGAACACTGCGTGCCATGGGACAGGTGTTGCTGGCGGTGATGTGAGGTCCACACTCCACACCTAGCTGACACTCCCGCCTCCCAGGCCCTTGCCCATCCACGGGAAGAAGCCCACCCCCTCCCACTCAGCAGCACCTGGGGTTCATGTTCCCCTACCGGGCTGCTGACAGGCCCTGCCTGTCCCCCTGCCCCCCACTATCCCCAGAGCCCTGACATACTCTGAGAAGGTGGGTTTGGGGGCTGCAGGGAGGTGGTGTGTGTTGGGGGCACCGTCTGGGTGTGGTCTAGATTGATAACCCTGCTCAGCGAGTGCGGGGGAACTCCAGTTTACAGAACCAGGGCTGTCTGCGATGTGGGCCAGGGTAGGGGCGGGTGTGTGGGTGGTTTATGGGCTGCTGTGGGGCCTGGAGGTGCAGGGACAGGAAGTGGGATGGAGGAGCCGGTGGGTTGAGGCTGTTGGCTGGGCACTTGCTCAGCTGCCATCACCCTTCTTGCGACTCCTGCCCCGCCAGCCAGGGTTCCCTGCAGTGGTTTATCCCGGGAGGGTGAGGCCTCGCCCTTCCTGGATCAGGAAACCCTCTTCCTCCCACAAGGGTCCTCCATGCTGCATTGAGGCTGGAGGTGTGTGTTGGGGGGTGGGGGTGGTTTCCCGCTGGGGATCCAGACGGCAGGAAGGAGAAGCCCACAGCCAGGGATGGAGAGCCCCTGCCACTGCTGTTCATCCCTTCCTGGCTCACTGGGTAGTGGGTGCCGCTCCAGCTCCCTGCCTATGTGGGGAAGAGCTCCCCACAGAGGCGCTCTGTCATGCTTGTCATCACCTCCGGCTCTGAGCCAGGCACTGAGGCTCGGGTCATTTAAATCTCGGCCCTGGCAACCTCAAGGAGCCCCCCTCCTTATTTTACAGAGCGGGGACCCTGGGAGGGGTAGGAGCTCATCCAAGGTGACACGATTCTCAATTTGACACGCTCTGGTTCCCTCCACCCCCACCTGAAGCACCTGCCCCGGGGACCAGTGGCTGGGGGTGGGAGGGGAATGGCTGTGCTCAGGGGGACCCCCACCCCGCCCTAACCCCTCCTTGTCTTCCCCCAGGCTCAGGCAGCCCCGTGGGCTCAGGCCCAGAGCCCGGAGCAACCAGCACAATAGCGTCCAACAGCTGGAACGCCAGCAGCAGCCCCGGCGAGGCCCGGGAGGATGGGCCCGAAGGCCTGGACAAGGGCCTGGACAACGATGCGGAGGGCGTGTGGAGCCCTGACATCGAGCAGAGCTTCCAGGAGGCCCTGGCCATCTACCCGCCCTGCGGCAGGCGCAAGATCATCCTGTCGGATGAGGGCAAGATGTACGGTGCGTGCGGGCGGCCCGGGGACACTGGACTGGACTCCCCGGCCCCTCCCCCTGCTCTCTGGCCCCTCACCCAACCGGTTTGGCAAAGTCCTGGAGGCCGCCAGCCCGCCACGGGGCGAGTCTGGGCGTGCGAGCCTGTGTGTCCGGATCCTCCTCATAAACAAGGCAGCCCCCACAGCGCGGCCCGCACCCCCGCCCCCGCCCGCCCGCTGCTCCTCCCCCTGCTGGCCTGGGCCTGGAGTGTTCGGTGACTCAGTGGGCCCAGGAAACTGGGTCAGTCTGGTCTGCCCCAGACCTGGGAGAGGGTCCCTGCCCTGGGAGGGGTGGGGGGAGGGCAACCTGGGGTGAGGCTGTCACAGACGCCTGTGTGGGGAGGGGAGCCAGGAGCCGCACAGAGGAGGCGCCCCGCCTCCAGACAGGCTGACCCAGGGCTGCCATTGTAGGCTAACTTGACCCCTCCGAGGCCTCCCCAACAGTGCCAGGTGGGTGTGGAGGCTTGGCCCCGAGGGGCGGGGTGGGGGGTGCTGGCCCGACAGCCCCTGTGCACCAGAGCCCACTCATGGGGCAGGCAGATGTTCTGGGCGCCTTCTGTAGGGCAGGGGCGCCTGCCCCCATTGCTACATCACAGATGGCTGGGGCAGCCCCACAGAGTATTTTTAGACAGGGTGGAGGGAGTGGGGTGGAGAGGGGCCCAGCTGGGGAGGGAGGAGCAGCGGGGCTGGTTCTATCAGCAGAGAGGAATTAGGGGAATGTGGCTGTTCTGGGGGAGCCCATGGGGTGCGGGGACAGGGAACCTGAATTTGGGGTGCGGATGCTGGCATCAGCTCAGCCAGGGGCCAGCAGACATCTGTGGTGCTGGGGCTCGCAGGCAGCTGGGCACGCGCGCACAGGGCGGGAGAGACACTGGCATCCGTGACACAGGGGGCCGGGCACAAGGTCACAGTGAGACGTCCTGCACAGGCTGTCAGTGTCGGAGGGGGCTTGTGGGAGGCCACCCACTCCTTCCTTCCTGGTTGTCCTTCTCCACGGAAGGGAAGGGACCGGTCCAGGGTCTTGTCCACTTGGCAGGAACCCAGTCCGGATGTCTCATTCGTGCACGGGGGACACATGCCCGTGGCGTGGCGCATTCTCACACATGGGCACCCCTGCCCCTTTTCCGTGGCTGCTGGCTCGGGAGGAAGCGGTGTGGGGACTGGGAGTGCCGGGGGTGCTGCTGCCCTGTGTCCACCTGCCCAGTGTGTCTGCAGGGTCAGCCTGTCAGGGCTACGTAACGGGTGCAGCCCCTTCCTCCCCCTCCTCGGTGGCCCCCCGACCCCTCCCATCGTGAGCAGCCCCGCTATGGTCCCAGACTCTCTGGCCTCCCGCATGCTCGTGCGGCTTGGTCTGGGGCCTCGGGCAGGGAGGGCAGAAGAGCAGCGCTTGGGGAGGTCCCCCGTGGGGTTTCCTGCGGGGATGGGGCATCTTCAGCCCCAGCGCCTCCCTTTGCCCACTCCTCATTTTTTTTCTCTCACCCCAATCTAGGTCGAAACGAGCTGATCGCGCGCTACATTAAGCTGCGGACAGGGAAGACACGGACGAGAAAGCAGGTAGGGAGACGGTTCGTGGAGCAGCCCCTAGCCCACCCAGCCTCCATGGCCGGCTCCGTCCTGCTCCCCTCCTCAGAGCCGCCCGTGCCCAGCTCGACACCTGCCCCCTTTCTCATCCCAGCCCCCTCCCTCGCCCAGGCAGCTCCATCCACTTTCCCCACTTCTCATGGAGACCCCCCACCCGCCCCCCTCAGCCTTTGCTTCAGGGACCAGATAAGCCCCAGGGCAGCTGCCTCATCCCACCCCGGGTGGCTCACCTGCCAGTCAGCAAGACAGAGGACAAGTACAGAGTAGGGGGGCGTGGCTGAGGGGCTATCTGCAGGGCGTGGCCAGAAGGGACCAGAGCCTCATCCAGACCAGGCAGGGAGGCTGGGAAGGCTTCTCAGAGGAGGTGACATCTTTAAGAAGGAATTGGGAGTCAGCCAGGCAGAGGGGAGGGAGTCGGGAGGTAGATAGAGCAATTGTTTCCGTTTTCCAGATGAGGAAAGAGACGCTGGCAGGTGGTGATCCAGGATTCAACCCACAGGGCAGGAAGGAGCCCTGATATCCAGGAGATGGGGCAGGGCTGGGGAGGCCTGGGGGACTGGCTCCCCCCAGGGCATCAGGGTCCCTGGGAGTAACAGAGCAGCTGGGCGGGGGACTGGAGAGGGCCAGGTGGACGGAGGCTGAGCCTCACTCGGCAGAGTGGGGACGGTGTGGGTGGGGAGAGTGATGATGGCTCCTGTGCAGGGAAGGTGGCCGTGTGGTCACGCGAAGCCCAAAGGGGCGTCCATCGGGCCTTAGGGTTCCTGGGAGGGCGGCCAGGCTGGAGGAATGGCGGTCAGCGCTCGCCCTCCGCCCTCGCAGCCTCCCCATCCGGGTGCGCACAGGACAAAGGTGGCCTGCCCCATGTCCCCTTCTCTGAAGCCCCTCCCTCCCTGGCTGCTGTCTGTGCTTGTAGCCCACACTCGGTAAATGGCTCAGCTACCGCTACGTCCTAGCACCAGGGATACGGCAGGGGGCGGCAGCAGCAAGGGCCCCCGTTCCGTTCCCTGGACCTTGGTGGCTCAGACATCAGACCTTTGGGCTCTCACAGGAGGGGACTTCAGAAAGTCTGGAGAAGTGGAGCGAGACAATAAGCTTATTCCAGTGCGACAGATCCATGCAGAGTTTTTTCATGATACACATCTTCCGTGAACTTTTTGAAGACTCTGTACCATTTGCCTTCCAGCCTTGATTCCATGCCCCTCCCACCCCCCCGTGAATTAATGCGTGAAGACACTCAGGACAGAGAGGCCGCCGCTGCTGTTCCTGTCACTGCTGTTCCTGTAGACAGAGCGCTGTCCACGTGGTCACAGGGACCCTGATTGTCAAAGTGATCAGAAACTCAGTCACCCTGAACCGAGGCCCAGCGCAGCGGCAGAGCCTAGGGCACACACCCAACCTTTTTTTCTTCTTCTTTTTTTTAAAGATTGTATTTCTTTATTTGAGAGGCAGAGTTACAGACAGAGACAGGGAGAGACAGAGAGAGAGGTCTTCCATCCACTGGTTCACTCCCCAAATGGCCGCAACGACCGGAGCTGGGCCAATATGAAGCCAGGAGCCAGGAGCTTCTTCTGGGTCTTCCATGTGGGTGCAGGGGCCCAAAGACTCGGGCCATCTTCTACTGCTTTCCCAGGCCACAGCAGAGAGCTGGATCAGAAGAGAAGCAGCCAGGATTCGAACCAGTGCCCATGTGGGATGCCCATGCCTCAGACAGAGGCTTAGGTTACTGTGCCACAGCACTAGCCCCTTTTCCCTTTTTTTTTTTTTTAAAGATTTATTTATGCATTTATTTCAAAGGAAGAATAAGAGAGAGAGAGGAGGCTGGGAAGATCTTCCACCTGCTGGTTCACTCCCCAAAATGCCGCAATGGCTGGGGCTGGGCTAGGCTGAAGCCAGGAGCCAGGAACTCCATCCAGGTCTCCCACATGGGTGGTGAGGGCCCAAGGACTTTGGCTGGCTTCCACTGCCTTCCCAGGAGCATTAGCAGGACGCTGGATTGTAAGTAGAGCAGCCAGGACTGGCACTGACTCTGACACTAGATGCCAGTGTGCCGCAGTGCCAGCCCTTGCCAGCCTCTTAATTCTGGGTGCAGCATTATAACTCACTGTACAGGCATCCCTTACGATGGGGTTTTCCAGGCCAGCTGTCGGCAGGCTTAGAATTTTAAAAACTACTGGTCTTAACCATGTTGCCAGTGTAGGGTCCTCCTGACTTATTCTTTTTGGTTTTGTTTTTAAACTTGTTTTTTTTTAAGATTTTTTAATTTCTTTTTTGAGAGGTAGAGTTGCAGAGAGAGGGACAGACAGAGAGAAAAGTCTCCCAGCTCCCCAAATGGTTGCAGTGGCCAGAGCTGAGCAAATCCAAAGCCAGGAACCTGACGCTTCTTCCAGGTCTCCCACATGGGTGCAGGGGCCCAAGCACTCGGGCCATCTTCTACCTCTTTCCCAGGCCATAGCAGAGAGCAGATGGGAAGAGGAGCAGCCGGGACTCGAACTGGCACCCATATGGGATGCCGGCACTGCAGGCGGAGGCTTAGCCCACTACGCCATGGTGCCAGCCCCTGACTTTATTCTTCCCTCAAACTCTGGGTTTTCTAATACCCAGTTCAAATGCGCTCCATACTGTGGCTGTGAGGAAAGGCGCGTCATCATGTGTTAGAGAGAGCAGCCAACAGCCCAGGTTTGGGGTTGTTTTTATTTTACTCTTGCAAAGAAACACAGTGTGGCTGTCTTCAGACCCCTGCCGCAGTGCAGAGCAAGTACCGTGCCTCTGTACTGACAGAGCAGCTCAATAAATGGCCACCGGTGTCACAGAATCCACCCTCTGGGCTCGGGTCTGACGCTTCCCGCTAGTGTAGCTGGTGGTGAAGCAACGGGGGTCCCTGGGGTCGGACTGCCTGGGTGCCCATCCCAGCTCCGGCACCCAGCTGTGTGACCTGGGGCAAGTTGCCTTACCTCTCTGTGCTTGGGTTTCATCATCTGCAAGTCAGGGATAATGGACGTAGTAGTAGAACCTTCTTAATGTTGCTGTAGAGATCGCTTGAGCCCTTACGTGTGCAGCACGCATGCTCAGAAGCATCTGCGTTGTCATTGCGTGAAACTGTCAGTCATTTCGTGGGACCTGAGGCTCACTCCTGTGTGTGGAGCGCCTGCCTGCGTCCCAACCAGGGGTCTCCCTAAGCCCCCGGGGTCATGCACCTGGTGGTTTTCAGGCTGCGATGAAAAAGAAAAAAACTCTTCCTTGTGTGGATGCAAGCAGCTTCCGAGGGAAGCCAGTGTGACGGGGGTGCCTGGGCTGCTGGGGAAAGCAGGTGCCCCTGGGTCTCTCTCCAAGGCTCAGCGTCCGGGCCCTCAGTGGCAAAGGTCTGTGTGCAAGCCCATGTGTCCATGTGTGAGCCGGTGCGCCAGCCCAGGGGTGCCTGTGAAGACCGGGATTAGCCCAGGTCTGCCAGTAGCCGCTTGGGGAGAAGCCTTCTGGGAAAGCAGCTCCCGTGTCCGTCCGTGAGCACTCACGTCAGTACAGGGAGAGGGCACGCGTGCTTGTGGCGTGGGGGGAGATGCTGTGAGCCCCGAAGCAGGAGGAGCAGGAGGCTGTTGGGTGGGACTTAGGCAGTGTGTTGTGGGGGGCATCCTCGCTGGAGGGTATGGCCTTCCTTGGTCGGTGATCCAATGGGCAACAGGAGCGTTGTGGCTGCCACTGACCAGTTAGAATCAGCTCCCCTGAAGTCGCCAGGAGGAAAAAGTGGCCCTGTTTTGCTGGGGGGGGAGAGGGGGCAGCCCCGTGCCAGGGCGCGCAGCTTGGCCGGTTTCAGCTCTCACAGGTGCCCTCCTGGCCAGGTCCTGTGTGCAGATGGGGGCTGGGGTGCTCCTCGCCTGTGGCGCCCGCGCCCCGCCTCCTCACTGTCTGTGTTTTCCTCTCTGGCGGGCGCGGGGCGGCCCCTAGGTGTCCAGCCACATACAGGTTCTAGCTCGGAAGAAGGTGCGGGAGTACCAGGTTGGCATCAAGGTACGTTGGGCGCCCGCCCGGGGCCTGCAGCCCCTGCCTCGGGCCCTTCCCCACGGCGCCCCTGCTGCTGTCTCTGCACGGCCCGGCCTCTGCCTCTTCTCCGGCTGAAGCTCTGTCCTGGCCTCTCCTTCCACTCTTTCTGTTCTCTCTTTCTCTCTCTCTCTTTCTCTGCAGGTCTCTAGCCACTTGCAGGTTCTAGCCAGGCGGAAATCTCGGGAGATTCAGTCCAAGCTGAAGGTAGGGGGCCTCCTGCCACTTAGCCTGGTCCTAGGCCAGCCCCCCTCCCGGACCGAGGCCTGGGGCAGGGCAGGGGCCCACAAAAATGCGAGGGGGTCTCAGAAACACAGGCAGCGGCAGGAAGCCGGCAGAGGGCCACAGTCCAGGGAGACTGAGCGGGAGCCCGAGGGGACAGCCAGCCCTGCAGTGGGGCAGACGGTGGACGTCTGGGAGCCTCTCGGGCCCGCCTCTCCTTGTCTTCATTTTCCTTTTTCTTCTCCTGAGTGCTGCTTGCCGGTTGCACAGGGACTTCGGGTGCACAGGGCGACGGGCTGCAGAGCCGGCGCAGCAGCTCCCTGTCCCCTGCCAGCTGTGCAGCCGAGGACCTAGGTTCAGGGTTTACAGCCCACACCCTTCTCTGGGCCCACATTGGCTGAGTGCCATCCCCCTGCCCCTGCTCCCCTATGCCTAGGGCACAGGGCCAGAGGACACAGACCCCGGGGCGCCAGCGTGGCCCACCCTCCAGGTCTCCAGCTTGCTGCCCCCTTCCCAGGGTACCCCCCAGCTGGCAGGCAGTCCTCGGTGGGGCAGGGGGTGGCTCATGGCTGCCTCTCAGCTTGCTTGGGTTCCCTGGGAGCTGAAAGCAGGTGGGTGCTGGGTGGCGGGAGGCCGGAAGCCATGTCCCCCACTACACTGACGCATCCTTCCCCCCTCTCTTTCACAGGCCATGAACCTGGTGAGTGGCACTGCCCCTCGGGAGCGGAGGCGGTGGGGAGGGCCTCGGCACATCACACGGGCTTGCAAATCGGGGATTGTGAGATCAGCGTAACGGGTTTGCAAGCACCGTTTTTAATTTTATTTATTTTAAAACCGTCTTTATTTATTTGAAAGGCAGAGTGACAGAGAGAGGAAGAGACAGGGACAGAGCCTCCATCCACTGATTCACTCCTCAAATGCCCAGAGAAAGATAGCTGAAACCAGGAGCCAGAAACTCCAGGTCTCCCATGGCGGTGCAAGGAACCCAAGCACTTGAGCCGTCATCCCGTGCCTCCCAGATGTATGAGCAGGGAGCTGGATCAGCGGGAGAAATTCAGAGACCTGAACCGGCGCTCTGATATGGGGTACTGGCATCACAAGGGGCGGCTTAGTCCGCTGTGCCACAGCCCTGCCGCCACCCAGTGTTTTGTTAATAAAGGAAAATCAGCAGCGCTCACACTTGAGTGTGCATCGAATCACCTGGGGGGCTTTGCCAGAGCAAATGCCTGGGCCTCACCCTCAGCCTGGTCCAGGAGTCTGGGCTGGGGCTTCGGATGTACCTGTCTACCAGGCTCCCAGGGGATGCTGGAGCAGCTGGTCCAGGGCCCCTGCTTTGAGAACCACCAATGAACAGAATAGAAATAGAACAGAACAGAAAACAGGACTGTGTAGGGGCCCTGATAAGGATTGCTGTTTTGATGTGTCCCAGTTCATGTTCCCTCTCACTGTGGCCATGGTCAGTGGGGCGATGCCCCCTTCGGAGGCTGACACCCAGGGAAGGATAAAGACTTCCGGAAGTGCAGAGCTGGGGCTGGAGACCAGACTGGGACTCCCAGAGCCCAGGCCTCATGCGAGCCCTCCCTCCCCAGGACCAGGTGTCCAAGGACAAAGCCCTCCAGAGCATGGCGTCCATGTCCTCTGCCCAGATCGTCTCCGCCAGTGTCCTGCAGAACAAGTTCAGCCCGCCCTCCCCTCTGCCCCAGGCCGTCTTCTCCACTTCCTCACGGGTACGGGGTCCCCGGGGTCCCGGGAGGGGGAGCACTGGCGGGGGCGTGCCCTGAAGCGTGGGCTCCCGGGGCCCCTGGACACTGAGCTCCCTTGGCTTGTCCCGTCTTGCAGTTCTGGAGCAGCCCCCCTCTCCTGGGACAGCAGCCTGGACCCTCTCAGGAGTGAGTATGGCGCTCATTCTCGCCACGCCCGTGGCCTGCCCGCCCAGCTGGGTTCTAGCAACAGCTGAGCCAGGTTGCCCTTCAGAGGTAGAGAGACAGGGGGAGCAGCCGGGAGCGATAATGCATCTATCTGTGCACTTGTTCACCAGCCGCTCATCCTGTCATTTCTCTCTCAGTTCAGCTCTGAGCCAGTCTCTCAGTTGACAGGTCAGGCGGTCCAGGATGCTGGGTTTCTTTGGCTCCAAGACAAGGCACAGCCTCTGTGCAGTGAGGGCGTGGGGAGGGGTTGAAATGGCATTGCAGGTGCACCTGTTGTGAGATGCAGGCATTCACAGAAGTTAAGATGAGCAGACGGCAGAAGGCTGTCAGCTTGTGTCTGGGAGGGGCCCCCAGGGGGGTCCTGGATGAGGCTGGGGCAGGTGGGAGGGAAGGAAGAGGGGTCCCCTCTGACCACCCTCTGCTCCTGTTCGCAGCATTAAGCCCTTTGCACAACCAGCCTACCCCATCCAGCCGCCCCTGCCACCGACACTCAGCAGTAAGTGCCCCACGGGAGGCTGTCCTCTGTCTGGCGCCTGCGCCTCCGTCTGGGAGAGCCAGGGCCCAGCTGTGTGTGTGTGTGTGTGTATGTGTGTGTACAGGGAGGGAAGGGGTGTGGCATCTGTAGGGGGGTGGGACTGGCCAGGAATTGCCTCTGCCTTGTACGACGTGGCTTCCGGAACCCTGGCACACCACTGCATGGCCGACGTGCAGCTGTGGGCGCCCACCGTCAGAAGTAGCACATTTATAGTGATTGCTCTGTGAGTCACAAAGTCCCTTGGTCTAGGAAAGTGCTCTGAAGTCTTCACAGGGCTGTACTCTCTCTGGGTGGCGGGATTCTGAAAATTGTTATTTTCCCTTTTTACTTCTTGTGTTTTGTGTTTCTATTAATGCGTGTGACACAGGGAAAATGTATTTTTTTTAAGATTTATTTATTTATTTATTTATTTATTATTTATTTGAAAGGCAGAGCCTATAGAGAGACAGACAGCAAGAGAACCCCCATCTGCTGATTCACTCCCTAAACGTCCAGAACAGCCAGGCCAAGCTGAAGCCAGGAGCCAGGAGCCCGAGTACTTGGGCCATCACCCACTGCTTCCCGGGCATATTAGCAGGAAGCAGCAGCACAGAGGAGCTGGGACTAGATACCAGGGACTCCAGTATGGTTATGGATGTCCCAGGCAGTGGCTTAACCAGCTGCACCACAGCGCTCACCCTGGGAAAATGTCCTTGATGGAAGCCCTTGGGGCTACCACATTCAGTAGTGCAGGTTGTAGACTGTACTAGGACACCTGTAGGGGAGTCAAAAGCCAACCAGGTTCCTTCCCAAAGGGCACCGTTTTCCAGTTTGCACAGGGGCTGTGGGCGGGGCAGGGGCAGCTTCATACATAACCGTGCATGTGCAGACGCGGCTCCGTCTCCCTCCCAGGCTACGAGCCCCTGGCCCCGCTGCCCCCAGCCGCTGCCTCCGTGCCCGTGTGGCAGGACCGCACCATCGCCTCCTCCCGGCTGCGGCTCCTGGAGTACTCGGCCTTCATGGAGGTGCAGCGAGACCCTGACACGGTAACGTGTGCGGGTGGGGGTGAGGCTCCCTGCCAGCCTGGAGACCCTGCCACCGTGGGGCGGGAGTCTGGCCTGCTCCCCTGACCCTGTCTGGGCCCCCCCCACAGTACAGCAAACACCTGTTTGTGCACATCGGCCAGACGAACCCCGCCTTCTCAGACCCGCCCCTGGAGGCCGTGGACGTGCGGCAGATTTACGACAAGTTCCCCGAGAAAAAGGGAGGCCTGAAGGAGCTCTATGAGAAGGGGCCCCCCAACGCCTTCTTCCTCGTCAAGTTCTGGGTGAGCTACCCGCTACCCCCTCTCTGCTGCCAGCCCCTCCCCCATCCAACATGGGCAGCACCCCCAGCACCCGTGCCACCCCGCCCTGCCTCCTGCCCGTGGACTGTGGAGTGTGCTGGATATGGGCCCTGGGCAGGGTGCCCAAGTGCTGTGGCGCAGGCCTCCCTCAGCCTCTGCCAGCCCCTCATGCGCCCGCCCCGCCCACAGGCGGACCTGAACAGCACCATCCAGGAGGGCCCGGGCGCCTTCTATGGGGTCAGCTCCCAGTACAGCTCTGCCGACAGCATGACCATCAGCGTCTCCACCAAGGTGTGCTCCTTTGGCAAGCAGGTGGTGGAGAAGGTGGAGGTGAGTGGGGGCCGGGATGGGGGGGAGGGGCGTGGCGGGGCCGGGAGCAGGCAGGCTGATGACGGCTTCTCGGCCGCTCTGCGCAGACCGAGTACGCCAGGCTGGAGAACGGGCGCTTCGTGTACCGCATCCACCGCTCGCCCATGTGCGAGTACATGATCAACTTCATCCACAAGCTGAAGCACCTGCCCGAGAAGTACATGATGAACAGCGTGCTGGAGAACTTCACCATCCTGCAGGTGCGCGGGCGGCAGGGCTGGGGCGGAGCCCGGCGAGGGCCAGCGGCCTCAGGTGAGCGGAGACTGGGCCCCTGCCCCTGCCTGCCTGACCCTGTGACTCTCCTGCCCGCCCCCAGGTGGTCACCAGCCGAGACTCGCAGGAGACCCTGCTGGTCATTGCTTTTGTCTTCGAAGTCTCCACGAGCGAGCACGGGGCCCAGCACCACGTCTACAAGCTTGTCAAAGACTAGGGGCCCTCGGAGCCGCCACAAGGCTGCAGAACTGGCGCCTCTGGGGGGTCCAGGATCAAGGACTCATCCACCCACCAGGCATCTGGCCCGGGACCCAGGAGGCCACCCCGCCCACCCCCAGCACACACACTCCCTGCCACTGTTCTGCGCTTTAAATGTGGGAGAAGAGAGGAGGGCTGGGTTGTGGGGCAGCCAGGCTGCAGCGGTGACCCACTCTCGCGCAGCTGTGTGGCTTGAGTGACCTCAGAGAGCTGGGGCTGCAGGACACCTTCGGGCTCCAGCAGGTGTGGCCACTGGCTGTCCCCTCAGGGGCGTGTGGTGGGCGCAGAGGCCCTAGGAGAGGAGTGGCAAGTTGGGGTTGGGTTGGAAAGGGCTCCCACTTCCTCACATCCGCTGGGTGTCAGGCCCCTTGCATGCCTTATACTGTCCACAGAGCCTGCAAAGCGGGCATGAACTCAGTTTCAGGCGAGGTGCCAACGTAGGGCCCCAGGATGAGCGAGTTCTCGCCAGGGCTGCTCATCCTGGAGCCCAGGCTTACACTACCTCCCTGGAGCAGGGCTGGCCGCATGGGGAGAGTGGGGCAGTGTCTGCCCAGGGAGTGAGGGGGCCTCTCTGGGGGCCTGGACAGAGCACCCCAGGCAGAAGGGCCAGAGGGCTCTGCAACAGCTACTAGGCCTGTTAGGCACCCTCTCTGCCCGAAAGCCGCCAGGGTCCCAGGAGCCTCCAAGCAGCCCCTCCCCTCCACTGTCCAGGACCTGGTAGAGGAAGGCGGAGTCCCAGCCTCCGCACAGGCCCCAGGAGAGGTAGCAGGAGGCCTGGATATTCCCCCTTGCCTGAGACCTGGGGTCGCCAAACCCTGGAAGGGTCCTGCTGCCTTCTGGTCTTTCCCACCTCAGTCCCCCTGCCCTGGGCCAGCAGCTGCCCAGACCTTGTTCTGGGGCTGAGGGTCAACCCTTTGCCTGCCCACCAGCCCTCTGGGTATTTATGAGTTTCATATGAAGTACTGTGCCCCTTCCTTCCTTGCCCCACCCCGCCCGAGCTTCCTGAAGGTCCTCACAGTTTGCATACCGCTCAGGCCACCCCCAACCCCCACCTAGGTTTTATAATGTATATTATATATATTTTTGTGTATTTTTTAAATCCAGCTGTGATGGGTTGTCATAAATGTGGCTCTGGGCTAGGGCACTGGTCCTCAAGGCCCAGCTCCTGCTCAAAAACAGAATTAAAGTTATGTTTGTGGGTCTGCCACGTGACCGGTTACGCACCAGATCCTTGGTTAGAACACCTTAGGTGGCCACGGTGCCCCTCGAGGCCCTGGTGTCACCCCCACCATGCTCCTTCCTAAGGAATCTCAGCCCCGTTTCCTCACGTTTCTCCCAGCACTGGCCTGAGCGCCTCCAGGTGGTGACCTGCGCTAGCCTCCTGAAGCAGTCCACTTCATGGGTGCCATGGCTACTGCTGGTCATCCTGGCCCTGAGGGGTGATGGCTCTCCCTCAGTGGATAGCTGAGCCACCTATAAGGGGTTGAGAAGTCTCACGACCTAGTTTTCCCAGGAGACTGCTGACCCAACCATCACATTGAGATAAAATGTGCTCATCAAGTCCAGGTCTCAAGTTCCAACTGCCCAGGGTCTGAGTCCTGGAGGACCCACTAGGCCCAGGGCTAGTCAGTCTGTACTCAGTCTGTACTGTGCGGGGGTGCATTAGCAGACAGCACCCAGTAACCATCTGGAGTGCAAATATCAGTGTTTAGTCCAAGGGGAGGGGAATCACCTACACCCAATTTTAGCTTCAGTATGTAAACTTGCAGCTGCACAAGGGTCCTTTAAAGTGCAGCAAATACACATCTTTTAGCCCCACTTGCCCTCCTTAGCTACTGAAATTCACAGCTCCTCCCTGCAGATTGCAGCTTTTTAAGGCAGAAAGCGGAATCTCTCATGGGCTGGTTCACTCCCCAAATGGCTCATCCTGGTCTCCCAAACACGTGGGCTCTCCCAAGTGCATGAGCTGGACCCCGTACTGAAGGTGGAGGCTTAATCACCTATGCCACGGGACTGGGCCCAGCCTGCAGCTCTTACTTAAAGCCAAGTTCCAATCTAAAAGCTACAATGATCTGACCTTGACTTCAGTATTCACAAAGCTGATGCATCTGAAAGCATCAATCCTGGATTAACCTGTTAGTTTGCAAGACCAGTTAATGGGCATTTTCCACACCATAAGCCACCTTTCCAGTCCTGGGTTTGCCTGGGACAGGGCTGTTCTGATGCTGGGTCCCATCAACCCCAATTCTGAGCTCTGTTGCCCATGTTCCTGAATAATTTACCTGCTGCTACTGACCAAACCAGAACAAGATTTGCAACATTCAACAGAGGGCCCACAAACCCACCCAAGGACCCATGACTGATGGATGGTGTGTATGAGGAGTTTCAGGGCTTAGCTTGAGAGCCACACACCCTACAGATGGAACAGGACTCCACACTGATGGCAGCGGGACAGGGTTCACCCACCACTAGCAGTGCCCGACCACCCCTCACCAAGGAACAGAAAGCCCTGACACCCCGTGAGCTCACGAGGCCCTTCAGCCCCAATCACAGGCAGACGGGACGGTGGCACCAGGGTTTATTAGGGTGTGCTTTAGTACAGGCGCTGGGGCTTGCCCATGGTGCTCTTGATGTACAAAGCCCGGACATTCTGCCAATTCTTCTTCAGCAGTGACACCAGGAAGTTGACAGCCAGGTGGATGTTGTACACAAGCTCATCGTCTGTCATCTTCACGTGGCCAACTGCCACGGCCAGACACAGCACCTGGGGGAGAGGGGAGGATTGGTCCACATGGCAGCCGGCCAGGCCAGCCCACCCCACCCTCGGTGACCAGCTGTGCTTGGGCCCAGGGAGAGAGCTGACCAAGGTTATTCCAGACCTTGTCAATGCATCCACTGAAGTACAGGCCAGGGAACCTAACGGCTGCCACACTGAGCGACTGGGTAAAACCTGAACCCTCTGCACCTTCACCCACAGTTCTTACCTTCTTCATCTGGAACTTGATTGTGGACTTCACCTCATCGACTTTGGCCACCATGTTCTCATTGTGTGTCAGCAGGGAGGGGAACTTGCCAGCCTTATTTAGGCCTGGGCCCAGGATTCGTGGGATCTGCTTAATCAGAGACTCTGAGGCCAAAAAGGCGTCATACTTCTTGGCTGGTAACGAGAAGCCATTGGATGATTAGGGCCTGTCCACTGAGGCAGACCTCCTAACCAGTCAGGACAGAGATCACAGAAATCCACTCCGAGCCTCTGCGCCCCATCCAGACCAGGTGTTCTCATGCACCGCCCCACACCTGTGGGCTCAGTCCCCGGGGTAAACTGCAACGTCGGCACTTTTACTGCTCCGAGATCTGACCCAGATCCACATGCTGCAGGCGCGATGGGTGCTGTGGCCCCCACTCTAGGCTGAGGGCTGCAGTAGTCCTGGCTGTGGGGTTTGGGCATTTTACAACCAAGGGTACATTTCCTATCTGTACAAGTCTGACATCACTGCCTGCCCGACACGGGCTCAAGACCAGGGAAGAAACACAACGTTGGTCCAACTTGAATTCACGGCTCACCCCAGCACCTGGGTCCTCGACTTGTTGACACGAAAACCAATGCCTGGTCCATCTCTTTTTAAAATTTAAGCCTCAGCAAACTAAGAAAACCCACCCTCAGGCTAGCCTGCCAGCCACGACAGCCCCTCTCCTATCTAACTCCCGCCTGCTTTGCCGGACCTCGCACCCCAAGGAACACGTTCCCATCAGCCCCCGCGGCACCCTCACCCAGCTTCTTGACTAGCTTCTTGTTCTTGTTGAGCTTCTTGAGCGCCTCGATGTCCATGTGGGGGATGTCCACAGCCTTGGCCTCGTCGCAGTGCTGCTGGTCGCCCAGGACACACACGGAGAACTTGGGGCGGGGGGTGGACTTCAGCCTGTGTTTCCGGGGACAGCCAGGTCATGCCCTGCCCGGGACTCCCAAAGGCAGGTGAAGCGGGGGAGGGGAGGTCTGGGGCCAGAGCGGACACCGAGCCTTACCCAGAGCGTGCAGTCACCAGCAGCTAGCCTGTCTTCTCAGACTAGCCGGCGGGCTCGGCCGAGGCCTCCCCACGCCTCCCCTCATGTTTTAAGACCCAGGGTGGGGGTCCGTCCAGCCCCGCCTGCCCGGAGCAGGGGGTCTGAACTACCCGAGCGCATCAGCCGCGCACGCGCCCGCCTCGGCTCGGCGCGAGCCTCAAAGGGAGGAGGCGGGCGCGCGGGCCCTGAGGGCTGGGTGGGGCGAGATGGTGCCAACCTGACGGTGCCCGAGAAGCGTTTGTCTTTCTGGGGGTCATAATTCTTCAAGCTGATCTGCAGCTCCACCGTCTCCAGAAACCTTGGGCAGAGAGGACGCGAGGTCAGCAGCGGCGGCCCTGACCCCCTCCCGGGGCCCGGCCCGCCCTTCCCGGGGCCGCGCTTACTTCCGGCGCTTGCGCTGGTTCCCGTGCAGGACTTCCCGCACCGCCTCGTACAGGGTGTCGCGAGAGACTTTGCTGCTGCGGGACACAAGCCAGAGCGCGCTCAGCGCCGGGACACCTCCGGGGTTCCGGTCGCCGAGCCGGGTTCCTAGGGCCTAGAGGAATCCGTCCTTCCCTGGGCACCGCACCCGGGAGCAGAGGAGACCGCAGGCCGGCGCCCAACAAGAGACGCAACGCCGGGAGAGGCGGCGCGAGTACCCCCAGCGGGGTTACCCGAATAACGCAGATGGCTACGGATATCCCCCATCCCCGCTTACCTCATGGCTCCTCGCGCCGCGGTAACCGGAAAAGAGAGTAGCCGGCTTCGCGCATGCGCTCAAATAGTGCTCCCGCTCTCGCGAGAACTGCCTTGTGCCACAGCCTACTCCCCCCAGAGCCCGAGCCCGGCGGAGCGCTGCCGCCTGCGGCCACGGGAGGGCGCAGCCGCGCTCTTCGCCGCCGGACCCGCGCTAGGACCCGCGGGGCTGCAGATCTGCTACCCCGGCAGTATCCGCAGCCGCTGCGTCCAGGGGCCAACTTCAGCAGTCACATTGGCTGGGCACAGCCCGGTGCTGGCCGCGGACGGCGTGCGGTCCCGGCGCTCTCCGCACACTGCCCTCCCTCCCCCGTCAACTTGCTCCCACGGGGATTCATGGCTTCCAAGGAAGCTGTCTGTTCCTCATCCCTCAGCGCCTGCAGGGGGTCAGGGCTGAGCGCTTTCAATTTTTGGTTGCTACAATAACATCTACGGGTTGAGTCTACGAAAATAAAGACGGGCCCGAGCTGTGGCGTCGCGGTCAAGCCGCCGCCAGTCCATGCGGGGCCAGCTCGAGTCCCAGCTGCTCCACTACTGATCCAGATCCCCGCTAATGGCCTGGAAAGAGCCCAGAAAGATGGTCCAAGGCCTTGGGCCCCTGCACCCACGTGGGAGACCCAGAAGAAGCTCCTGGCTCCTGATCAGCTCAGCTCTGGCCATTGCCGTCATCTGGGGAGTGAACCAGTGGATGGAAGGCCTCTCTCTCTCTACCTCTCTAATTCTTTCAAATAAATAAATCTTTAAAAAATAAGTAAACAGATGTGAAAGAAACCCCCAGTGCTGCACACTCATGAAGTGTCATCTGCCAAGTGGGTCCCCCTTTCTCTTCTCAGCCCGCAGGAAACCTCAAGAGCCCAGAGAGCCCTCAGCCTCCCCCAACTCCAGAACCTCTCCCACCCCATCCACAGGCAGCTGGGGTGGGCGACATCACACACAGTCTGGCCGACACACCCTATCTGGGTGAACTCAGGAAACTCGACAACTGTCGCTTCCACCAAGAAGATGCCCCATGTCACTGGGCAGGGGGTGAGGGTGGGCGGCAGGAGGTTCAGTACACACCCAGGGATAATGGGAAGGCAGCACAGCTTCTAATAAGACATTTTATTAAATACCATCCTTTTTATTAAATACCATCGATAAATTATTATCAAGTCACATGAAACACTGATGGTCAGACACACACCTGAGCAGGAGACGTGTGCTGTCACACAGGACGCTGATCTCCTGGAGCGCCTTGTGTCCACCCTGGGTCTGCTTTGGGCCGACCTAAGCCAGCGGCCCGGTCTCTGTGGCCATAGCAAGAAGTGATGAGAAGCGAGCCAGCAGCCTTTGCAAACAGTGCTCATCCGGCCCCAGCCCAGGAGGAGGGCCCTGCTCTCCCGGCAGCCTCTCTGCAGCCTGCAGCAGGGAGGCAGCTGGTCCCCAGGACAGCTGGGCTCAGCCCTCTTCCAAGGCTAGGGGCAGCGCAGCCACGTCCTGCAGGAGTCAGGTGAGGGGCTCCAGGCCAGGGGTCCCCTGGTGGGCGGTCAGGAGGCCAGATGTCGCAGGGCAGCCTGCAGGGACTTCCTCAGGAAGGTGGTGTTGGATTCCAGGGCCGTGGCCAGGCCCAGCTTCTGGGTCTCTGTGATCTGAGGAGGGAGAAGAATGTCAGAACTCCTTCCCCTCTCCCACTACCCCGAGGGCTCTGCTTGGGACAAAAGGAAGAGGAAGCTCCGGGCCATCCAACCTCATCGCTTCACCACAATGAACCAACCACAGACCAGGAGTCGAACAGAAGGCACACGGCCCACTAAGCCAGCCGCACCAATCAGGGTCAACAATTCCCGGGCGCTCCCTGTGAGACAGCACCACACACACATATACACACACACACACCTCACTCGTATGTGCATTAATTCATGTAAACCTTACAAGGCTCCCATTCTACAGACGAGAAAATAGGTTCAAAGCCACACTGTACAGGCTGCCTTCTGACAGAGCTCAAGGCCTCTTTTAATGCAAATGTGCCGGTCACCAGGCAGGCTGAGGATCTAAGGCCACTTCTGATGCCTCTCACATCAGACGTCTTTCTTCTAGGGCCTCCAGAGGGTCTCCAGGGGTCCAGGAGTCCCCTGAAACTACGCACCAGATGCATGTTCACACGTCGACTTTTCTGGATCCAAAACATCACACGGGCCTGGGATTCCTCCCGGCCTCCAGGGGGAGTACAGGGGGTGAGCCGTTGGTGCAGTGGTTAAGGCTCTACGTCTCGCATCACAGTTCCTGGGCTCAAGTCCCAGCTCCACTTCCAACTCCATCTTTCCGCTGCTACGCATCCTTGGAAGCAGCAGGTGGAGCCTCAACTACTCTGGGTCCCCACCGCCCACATGGGAGACACAGAAGAGCCCCGACTCCTGGCTTAGGCCCAGTCCAGCCTTAGCTGCCGTGGACACTTGAGATGGTGAACCACCAGATGGAAGATTTCTGTCTACTTTTCAAATATATTTTTTTAGAAGGTTTGTTTATTTGACAGGTAGAGTTACAGAGAGTGAAGGGGAGAGGCAGAGAGGGAGGTCTTCTATCTGCTGGTTCACTCCCCAAATGGCCACAACAGCCTAGAGCTGGGCCGATCCAAAGCCAGGAACCAGGAGCTGCTTCCCAGTCTCCCATGCAGGTGCAGGGGTCCAAGCACTTGGGCCATCTTTTACTGCTTTCCAGACCATAGCAAAGAGCTGGATTGGAAGAAGAGCAGCCGGGACTAGAACTGGCACCCATATGGGATGCTGGCACCACAGGCAGAGGATTAACCTACTGCACCATGGCACTGGCCCCTCAAATCTATTTATAAAGAACAATTTTTTTTTTTTGACAGGCAGAGTTAGATAGTGAGAGAGAGTCAGAGAGGAAGGTCTTCCTTTTTCTGTTGGTACACCCCCCCAAAAATGGCTGCTATGGTTGGTGTGCTGTGGCCGGCACGCTGCGCCGATCCGAAGCCAGGAGCCAGGTGCTTCCTCCTGGTCTCCCATGCGGGTGCAGGGCCCAAGCACTTGGGCCATCCTCCACTGCCTTCCCAGGCCACAGCAGAGAGCTGGACTGGAAGAGGAGCAACCGGGACAGAATCCGGCGCCCCAACCAGGACTAGAACCCGGGGTGCCGGCACCGCAGGCAGAGGATTAGCCAAGTGAGCCACAGCGCCAGCTTAAAGAACAATTTTAAGAGAAAATGGCAAGGGTTTGGCACTGTGGTGGAGAAGGTTAAGCCTCCACCTGCAGTGCTGACATCCCCTATGTGCACTAGCTGGGTCCCTGCTGCTCCACTTCCAATCCAGCTCCCTGCTAATGCGCCTGGGAAAGCAGCAGAAGATGGTGCAAACAGTTCAAGTCCCAGCTGCTCCACTTCCAATCTATCTCTCTGCTATGGCCTAGGAAAGTAGTAGAAGATGGCCCAAGTCTTTGGGCCCCTGCACCCACATGGGAGATCCAGAAGTTCCCAGCTCCTGGCTTTGGCCTGGCCCATCCTCAGCCATTGCAGCCATCTGGGGAGTGAACAAGCAGATGGAAGATATCTCCTTCTCTCTGTATCTACACCTTTCAGATAAACGAATAAATCTTTTTAAAAAAGAAAAGAAAATGGGGCCAGCACCATGGCATAGCAGGTAAAGTTGCCACCTGAAGTACTAGCATCCCATTTGAGCACTGGTTGGAGTCTCAGCTGCTCCACTTGTGTTTTTTTTTTTTTTTTTTTTTGACAGGCAGAGTGGACAGTGAGAGAGAGACAGAGAGAGAAAGGTCTTCCTTTGCCGTTGGATCACCCTCCAATGGCCGCCGCTGCAGCCGGCGCACCGCGCTGATCCAATGGCAGGAGCCAGGAGCCAGGTGCTTTTCCTGGTCTCCCATGGGGTGCAGGGCCCAAGCACCTGGGCCATCCTCCACTGCACTCCCTGGCCACAGCAGAGGGCTGGCCTGGAAGAGGGGCAACCGGGACAGAATCCGGCGCCCCAACCGGGACTAGAACCTGGTGTGCCGGCGCCGCATGGTGGAGGATTAGCCTATTGAGCCACGGCGCCGGCTCTCAGCTGCTCCACTTGTGATCCAGCTCTCTGCTGTGGCCTGGGAAAGCAGTGGAAGATGACCCAAGTCCTTGGGCCCTGCATCCGTGTGAGAGACCCAGAGGGGCTTCCAGCCAGATGGAAGACCTCTCTCTCTCTACCTCTCTGTAACTCTGCCTTTCAACTAAATAAATAAATCTTAAAAATAAATAAATACATAAAAGGGTAAGAAGCCAACAGGTAAGATCACCTGGACTTCAAGGTAAAGCGCCAACACACAGCCTACAGAGCCCTCCGTAAAGTGCTCCCAGTCCCAGCCCTGGGGTGCCAAGGAAGTTGCTTTTACCTCTCTGAATCCCAATTTCCTAATCCATCAAACGGAGCTAATAACAGCATCTCTCCTAGCGCTGACACACAGAATAAGCCTGCCAGTTCATGTACGTGAGGGGTTTGGAAGCAAGCCTGAGCCCCAGCAGGAGCTACGGAAGCACGAGCTATGAGAACTGTGGAGGTCTGACCTTACCCCTCCACTCTCTGTTTTAGGCCCTCCCCTCCCGCAGTAACGCCTTGCAGGTCACCCACTGCTCACAGGGACGCTTTCCCTGGAATGCCCCTTCCACCACCTCTGACCCTTGGCAACCATGCACCCTATAATTATAGGACCCTTGGCGACCACGCGCCCTATAAGCATCAGGAAGCCTGTCCCAATTCCCACCCAGAAACAAGAAGCCCGTCCTCCTTTGCCAGAAACACGCATGCACACCTCTTACCTGGCTCTTGCACACATCACAGAAATCTGCTTACCACCCCTTTCCCCTCTCACTGGCCGCGGGTTGAGGGACAGGGTTGTCTCAAGGGCAGTGGACTGTATTATGGTCACTGTTGATTTCCCGACAGCCTGCACAGCACGGGGCTCAAAGAGGTGTTGGCTGCATGAAGGAACTCACAAGCACGCTCTTTCCCCAGTCCTGCGTCTGAGCGTGTGTCTTCCCAGATTAACAGCTCGGGGTTTTCTCCCTGGCAAATGTATTTGCAGCCCCTCGGGGCAGGCCCAGAGCAGCCCCTGTCAGCACTCACGCTGGCCTGGTACTTGGTCATCACCGTCAGCATGAGTTTGGCGCAGGCCATGGAGGCAGGGGCCGCCAGCCCCTCTTTACAGAGCTTCTCCATCAGGACACTGAACTTTTCGGGGGTCATCGCCACCTGCAGCATTGGGAGGTGGAGCATTGTTAGGAGAAGGCCCTGGCTCCGCATCCTGCCGACCCCGGACTCAATTCCCAACTCCCCCACTTCCAGACTGAGCCCCGGCTTCCACATGGGTAAAGTGGGACTCGTGATACCTAACCCTGCAAAAAGGTTGAGGTCACGCACATAGGAGCTGACACGCGGGCCTCAGGGGACGGCGGCTACTGTTGCTCAGGCTCAGACCAGGACCCAGAGGAAACCGTGGTTAGAGACACACAGGAGCGAGGGGCCTGTGTGATCACCTGCACCCTCCTAACAGCAGTGTGTAACCACGGCGCAGCAGGCACCCCGGGCACTTTACACCAACGAGCTCACTTAGGCTTTGCCTGGTGTCTGGGGGAGGTGCTGGCAGAACCCCCCCTTGTTTGGGTGAGAAAACTGAGACGTAGAGCAGTGAGGCCGCTCACCTAAGACAGACACAAGGGAGGCAAATCCCTTGCTAAGCAAGAGCAGTGGGGTGCAGAGCCCTGGCCCTGGGGCACCCCAACCCCGGTGGACACAGCAGCTCCGAGAGGGCTCCTCTGCAGCTCTGGCACTGGCTAGCCCGGGGAAGGGAACCTGCACGGCTGGGGAGAAACGGGGACTCTTCCTCACTGCATCCTTTTGAGCTTTTTTTTTTAATTTTATTTATTTATTTTTTATTTTTTTGACTGGCAGAGTGGACAGTTGAGAGAGAGAGACAGAGAGAAAGGTCTTCCTTTGCCGTTGGTTCACCCTCCAATGGCCGCTGTGGCCAGCGCACCGCAGGAGCCAGGTACTTATCCTGGTCTCCCATGGGGTGCAGGGCCCAAGCACCTGGGCCATCCTCCACTGCACTCCCGGGCCACAGCAGAGAGCTGGCCTGGAAGAGGGGCAACCGGGACAGAATCCGGCACCCCGACTGGGACTAGAACCCGGTGTGCCGGCGCCACAAGGCGGAGGATTAGCCTAGTGAGCCGTGGCGCCGGCCTCCTTTTGAGCTTTTAAAATTATGAACACACAGGGCCGGTGCTGTGGTGCAGCAGGTTAAGCTGCCACCTACAGCACCAGCATCCTGGTTCAAGTCCCGGCTGCTCCACTTCTAATCCAGCTCCCTGCTAATGGCCTGGGAGAGCAGCAGGAGATGGCCTGAGTCCTTGGGCCCCTGCCATCCATGTGGGAGACTGGGAAGAAGCTCCTGGCTTATGGCTTTGGTCTGACCCAGCCCCAGTCACTGTGGCCATTTGGAGAGTGAACCAGCAGATGGAAGACCTTTCTGTCTGTCCTTCTCTCTCTCTCTCTCTTTAAAATAAATCTTTAAAATAAATAAATAAATATTATGAACACATGGGGGTGGGCATGGTGGTGCAGTGGGTTACACCATCGCTTAGGACACCACATCCCCTAGAAGAGCACTAGTTCAGGCCCTGGTACTCTGCTTCCGATCCAGTTTCCTGCTAGTGCATCCTGGGAGTCAGTAGAGGACAGCTCAAGTGCTTAGGCCCCTGCCACCCACATGGGAGACCTGAATGGAGTTCTGAGCTCTTGGCTTCAGTCTGGCCTGACCCTGGCTCTTGCAGTCATTTGAGGAGTGAACCAGTGGATGGAAGACATCTCTCTCTGTCTCTCTGCCTTTCAAGTAGATGACCATAAATAAATAAACTTAAAACACAAAGTTGTGAACACATGATTACCTATTCAAAAAGAAAGCTGACACACACCAAAACACCCATGTCCAAGCCCTACAGATGGGGGAGGTGGAACCGGATGGACCCTACAGTCAAGCCCCGGCTACCTGCCTTGCCACTGCTACAGGGTGCCCGCTGCAGGGCAGCTGTCCAGCCTGCCCCTCCATCCCTGAGGGACTCAACCCAGGAGCCCTGCGGCCCTCCACAGCCCTGCAGCCGTTCTTGGTCCACTCTACCCCAAGGCAGCCGGCTCACCTGTTGCTCCAAGAGTGACTGCAACACCAAGAAAGTCTCCTCCTTCCAGGGCAGATCCAAGATTTGCCTGCAAAGCAGAGGCAGGCTGAGTGAGGCCTGGACTCGCACCCAAGCCTGGGGATCTACTGCTCCCATTCCCTGGGAAGCCCACCCCCAGCAGCAGGGGCTCTGGCTGCAGAGCCCAAGGGTGTGCGAGGAAGATGGCAACCCCAAGATCCCCAGGGGCTGACAAGGAAGGATTTGGTAGTGAGAGGTACAAAGGTCCCTAAACACAACCAGGAGGCGAGAGTGCATCCTGACGGGCAACGGCAAAGGCGACTCAGGAGAGCAGGTGAGGCAAGGGGAGCCTTCCCTGCAGGACCCCACCTGCCGCTCAGCTGCACGGCCCTCCCCTTGGCGGAAATGACAGTGTGCCCAGTCACGCTCCTTGGGTGCGCAGGCCTGGGTTTGACGCCAGGTGTGATACCACTGGCTGGCTGTGTGACCCTTGGCCAAGTCCCTGCACCTCTCTGAGGGGTTTTTCCACCTGCATCACAACCCCGCATGAAGACTGAGAATCCAAAGCAGAGGAAGTGCTTGACCACTGGGGGCTGGCATGATTCGGGGGCTGTCCCCCGCTCACACTTCCCATGATGCATTGCACGTCTGTGTTCAACAGAGTTGATTGTCTCACATGTCTGTGCCTTGACTCCCCAATTTTAACAGTTTAACACCAATTTCATACTGATTCTGAGCACTTACTGGATGCCAAAGAGTGTGCCTACGTTACACGTATTATCAAACTTAATGTCTGACAGAACCCTATTAAGTGAGTATCACCCTCCTTTGCCATGAGAAAACTGAGGCCCAGGGAATCGAGTCCACTGTCTGAGCTCATACATTGAAATGGACAGCAAGGCTGGGATCTGAGACCATGTCAGTCAACAGCTGTGCTGTGGCAGCCCACAGCAGGGCCCATTGGCCCCTGCCTTGTAGTCCTCAAGGCACCCAGCCCGGGACGAGTCCCACACTCTGCAGAGCCAGAGCTAGGAAGAATGGGGCCCTGGGCTCTGGAAGGAGCATGGGATGGCAACTGCACGGCCCACAGGTGGAAGGCACGGGCTGGGTTCTGGTGACAGGGAGGGGGACACGGGCCGTGCCGTGGCCTGTCTTTGAGGCATGGGGTCTGGTGCCCATCTCCAACCTCAGAGTGCCAGGAGCAGGCCTGGCCAGTGGAGAAGGTGGCAATGGGGGCAGCATGGGGGCTGCACACTCACTCTAGCATTAGAACCCGTGTGGCCGGCTCCAGGGACTTGTCCTTCACAAGGCAACACAGCAACTCGGTTTGAGCTAGACCTGGTGGGGGAGGGCAGAGGGGATAAGTCTGGGGGAGATATGGCAGGAAAAGATGAGGTTGGGGGCAGAACACCAGCCTGGTGTAGGGGCATCAGCAGGGAAGCCTCGGGCACCTTTACCACCGAACTCCTCCCAGGGCTGCCCTGGGGTGAAGGCCGCAGAGTTCCAGAATTACCTGTGCCTGAGGCCTGGAGCACGGGGCCGAGGAGGGCTCTGCAGAACGGGTAGGTATACTTGGCACAGAAGGCGGTCAGGGCAGCCGTGAGCAGGCGGGAGGCCGAGGAGGTCAGGGAGAGGATCTGCAGCCGACAGGGAAGGGGAAATGCCCAGGCTCTCCCTGCAGGACGCACGTGGACCCACCCAGTGGGAAAGACATGCACCACCCTCCCCAGCTTCCAACTCCAGAAGGCTCCTGGGTCAGCTGTTGGGAGGGTCCTGGGGAAAGGTCAGATGCCACGTGGGTGGACAGATGTCCAGGGGACCGTGACCTGCTGCTGGAGACAGGATCCTTTTTTTTTTTTTTTTTTTTTTTTGAAAGGCAGAGTTACATAGAAAGAGAGAGATCTCCAAATGGCCTCAATGGCTAGGACAGGGCCAGGCCGAAGCCAGGACAGAAGGTTCATCCAGGTCTCCCAGTTGGGGACTTGGGCTATCTTCTATTGCCCTCCCAGGTGCATCAGCAGGGAGCTGGATTGGAAATGGAACAGCCAGGACTTGAACCAGCACCCACATGGATTACCGGCATTGCAGGCGACGGCTTACCCGTTACGCCACAATGCCAGCCCTGAGCATCCTTTACCCTAGACTGCTCAGGAAGCCCTTCTCCCAGGCACCCCCTGCAGAGGGCTCTTCAGACGCTCTCCCCAGGGTCCCTGGTGCTCCCAGTGCCTTGCGATGTACCTACCCGTCCAAGAAAGAGGCTCCTGGTCAGCACAGTCGCATTGCTGAGGCTAAGATCTGGGGAGAGGGCCAGCAGCCAGGTGCAGAGCTGCAGGACGCCCGTGTCGGAGAGCTGGGGGAGCTGCAGCTGGGCACACAGCAGGTCCACCTGCAACAGCAGCAGGAAGGCGCAGGGACGCTCAGTCTGTCCCGGCCAGGCTGTCACTAGCCAGCTGGGCAACAGAAGGGGCAGGGCACCGACGTTCCAAGGCAAAGGCCGACAGCTGCCCTGGGAGAGGGGACTGGGAGCTGAAAGAAACCACCCTGACCCCAGAAAACTCCCACGAGGTATGGAAACTAACTTAAACGAGAAAACGCAGGGAAGCGCAGTGGTAACCTCGAGGCCAGGATCCCTTTCTGGACTCACCTGGTCAGGACTACATTCGTGGAGTAGCTGCAGCTCCACTGGGGGGGCGTCCTCGAACCCCTCCAATCCCTAGGGAGGCAAATCCTACGTCAGGGCTGGCAGGGGGCTTAGTGACAAGTCACCGAGGCCACCCTTCCATTGGCAAGGGCAGTGGCAGAGATCCTGGAAGGGGCCATTGGAGGAGAGGGGTCTGCACAGGCATGTACCACGTAAGGCAGCTTCAGCGATGGGCCACGTGTGTGACAGCGGGCTCAAGGCATCACGCGCGGCCTGGGCCTGCGGAAGCTGGAGCCGTCTCCATTTGTGAGGTACGCTCTGGGATGCTCACGCAAGCATGCCATCACTCCAACCCTGCCTCCCCCACCTGCCCATGCTCACTGCACTGGGCCTCCCTGGGCATGGCTGAGGGCTGGGCAGAAGCAAAAGGAAGCTGTGGTGAGCAGGGTAGGGCCAGGCACCTTCCCAGAAGTCTTCAGCAGCTGCTGCAGCCTGGGAACCTGGTCCTGTTGGGGAGAGCCCAGTCAATGCCAAGTCCTCACCCCAGCCATGACGCCCCCAGCCCTGGCCTGGCTCCTTCTCCTGAGATGCAACCCTCCCCTGGCCCCTGATCAGTGGGAGGGGGTGGGCAAAGAGCAAGAACATGAAGCCTGTGTGTTAAAAAGCATCTAAGAATCCAAAGTAGGCAAGACCATGTGCGACCAGCTGTCTGAAGCTGTCTTCTGTGTATCCAAGCCTAATGGGGTAGAGCCAGGCTTTGGGCTGGGAGGGCAGGCAGATGCTGCCATGATTCTCCTCCCACAGGAGGGGTGGTCGGGGGCAGTTCCAGGGCCTCTCCCCTTACACTTTACCCTCTGAGCCCACACTAGAGCATTTCCACCTCTAACGGCTCCCTCCCTACCCCTAGCGTGTGGAGTAGAAGCTGAACACCCTCCACCCATCCCCCAGCTCCACGGACGAATCACCCCACTGGGAAACAGCACCCCAACCAGTCTTCCCCAGTCCTGCAGGATCACTCTAGCCTCCCCACCACAGTACCTGGACAGCTTTGGGCAACTCCAAACTCAGAGCAGGGCCCCGCGCGTCTTCCGTGCTCCGGCCAGCCTCACCGCTCTCCGCTCCCACAACAGGGTGGCTCTCCACCAGTGCCACGACTCCTCCATCTGCCAGGGATTCCAGTGACTCGTGCTCAGATCCCCCCTCCTCCTCCTCTTCTTCCTTGTCTTCCTCTTCTTCCCTTTCTGAATACCGCAACCTTTTGGGGGCCTTCTCCCCATCAGAAGTGGCAGGCTCTTCCTCGGGCTCCTTCCTGCGTTTCCCACGCTGCTGGGAGTCCCTGTCCTCTTCCTCCTCTTTCTCCTTGGGGTCTGGTGCCTGGGGCAATGTCAACCTCCTGCCCCCGTGTCCCAGCCGCCCACACAGGCCTTGGAGCTGTTTCTGGCAACTGTCAGACAGTGGGGAGGGTGCCTGGCCAGAGGCCCCGACCCCCACATCCCTCCGCAGCAGTTCTCCCAGGGCCTGGAGCCAGGCGTCAGGGTCCGAGACACAGTCCTGCCGGGCAATCTGCAGCACAGAGAGGAGCCCGCTTTCGGGCAGCGACGGCCGGACAGCCATCAGCAGGGTCATCAGGTTCCTCTGGCATAACTGAGGCAATCGTAGCAACAGCGGTTTCCTGGGTAGCAGAGGGAGAACAACTTCGTATCAGACCAGACTGGGTAGAGCCGGGAGGCAGGACCCGCGAGAGTCAGTGTGGATGGAGCTGGGGCCAGCACGAGAGAGTACTGAGCATCTATTAAACACCAGGCCCTGCTCTTTGACCTCTCTGACGCAATTTAGCTCCAGAATTCCTGTTAGGTGGCCCGGTGTCGTGCTGTGCCACGGGTGGGTTAAGCTCCCGCTTGCAATGACAGCATCTCATTTCAGAGCAATAGTTCAAATCCTGGCTGCTGAGCTCCCAATACAGCCCCAGCCGTGACAGCCATCTGCTAAGTGAACCAGTGGATGGAAGCTATCTTTCTGTCTCTCTCTGTCATTCTTTCAAATATATATATATATATATATAAAAGAATTCATATTGGAACCTACTGTATAATAAATCTATGCTTTTTCATCTTTTTATTTTTTTTTTTGTTAATGACAGGCAGAGTGGGACAGTGAGAGAGAGACAGAAAGAGAAAGGTCTTCCTTTGCCGTTGGTTCACCCTCCAATGGCCGCCGCTGCAGCCGGCGCACCGCGCTGATCCTGGCAGGAGCCAGGAGCCAGGTGCTTTTCCTGGTCTCCCATGGGGTGCAGGGCCCAAGCACCTGGGCCATCCTCCACTGCACTCCCTGGCCATAGCAGAGAGCTGGCCTGGAAGAGGGGCGACCGGGACAGAATCCGGCGCCCCCACCGGGTCTAGAACCCGGTGTGCCGGCGCCGCAAGGTGGAGGATTAGCCTATTGAGCCACGGCGCCGGCTCTTTTCATCTTTTTTTAAAGACATTTATTTACTTGAAAGGCAGAGTCACAGAGAGGCAGAGGCAGAGAGAGAGGTATTCCATCTGCTGGTTCACTCCCCAGTTGGCCACAATGGCTGGAGCTGCACCAATCCGAAGCCAGGAGCCAGGAGCTTCTTCCGGGTCTCCCACATGGGTGCAGGGGTCCAAGGACCTGGGCTATCTTTTACTGCTTTCCCAGGCCATAGCAGAGAGCTGGATCAGAAGTGGAGCAGCCGGGACTTGAACCAGTGCCCATAAGGGATGCTGGCACTGTACACCACAATGCTGGCCCCTTTTCAAGTTATTTTATGTAAAAGTTATTTCCAGATTTTAAGTAAAAATAATACCCAGGATACTGAGTAGTAATGTTTAGCAGGTGGCCCTGCGGCCACCCCTTAGCAGTCAATGCCCCAGAATTCTCAGGGTTCCTCATCTGGTCAGCTCTGAGGATCCTTTCACTGAACCATGGGCTCCCGGAAGGCAGAGGCAGTGTCTCCTTCCTCTGCGTCCCAGTACTCAGCAGAGGCCCAGGGCACACCCTCAGTGAATGAACTCCCTGTGAGCAAGCCTCCCAGAGGCAGTGGAGCTGGAAGCAGGAGACCAGAGAATAACCTTTCACTGTCACTTCCGGCTTCCCAGCAGCCAAGGGGGAGGCAGAGGGGACAGAGGCTGTTTCGGAGCCTCAGAAGTAAGAAGAGAATGAAGACACCCTCCTACAAGCACCCAGCATTCTCTACTCAGCACTACCTCCTGGTGCTGCAGAGGCCCACGATGCAACACATGGCCGTCCGGAATTTTGCTAGCAAGAACCCAGAGCCTGTGTGACCTGAGGTTCCGTGCGCAGCAAGTCATGGCGCCATCAAGCCCAGCACCCATCATGCCTCAGCTCCTGCCAACGTGACTGTGCATCACCCAGACACTTGGGATGTGAGAGAAACACACAAACTCTACTTCTTTATGCAAAACAGATACTATGTGAGGGAGATGGGAGGGTATTTGATGGCTGAAAGGGAAGACCCACCCTGCAACAAGGGTTCTTAACCTTTTTTAGGGCCCCTAATCACAGCAAGTGAATTAAATAAAATACCTAGGATTACAAAGGAAATCCATGTTCTATTCAAGGGCCCCAGTTTAAGCAACCCTTCTTACCCTTACTCTATTTAGATAAAGCAGACAACTGGATAAACATTTTTTTTAAAGACTTATTTATTTGAAAGAGTTACAGAGAGAGAGAGATCTTTCGTCCACTGGTTCACTCCTCAAATGGCCCCAACAGTCAGGGCTGAGCCAGGTGGAAGCCAGGCACCAGGAGCTTCATCCTGGTCTCCCACATGGGTCGCAGGGGCCCAAGGACTTTCACTGCTTTCCCAGGCACATTAGCAGGGAGCTGGATGGGAAGTGGAGCAACTGGGACTCAAACCAGCACCCATATGGGATGCTGGCATCACAAGTGGTGGCTTAAACCACTACACCACGAAGCCAGTCCCCTAAACAAACATTTCCAAAGCCTTCAATTTGGGGATTTGGACATGTTCTCCTGACCCATCTGCTGAAAGAAAGAAATTCAAAATACAGTATGTGAAGAACATAACAGAACATCTACTTCCACTTATTTGTCTAAAAGCTGAGAAATTAAGCATTACTAATGTTTCCCGTACAGACTGGCCTTCCTACACCAGTCTCCAGCTCAGTGCTTGGGGAGGGGTATCCAAAAAGAGCAGGAAGGCCTGCACCACGAGGGGCTGCAGGCGCACCTCCCTCGCTCCTTGGCCACTTTCTGTGTATTTAGATCAGCTATGCTAGCCAAGGGCATGTATGGATGCCCCGTCATCTGTTCTAACGAAGTGGACGTGTCACTTCAAAGGAGCCTGCAAAAAAACTGAAGATAACACTAGTAATGGGAGCACAACCCAATAGCACTTCTGCTCCTGGCAGACGCTGTCTGCCTGCAGAGGTATTTAAAACACCAAACTCAAAAAGCAGAGGAGATGGCCCGAGAATTTGGAGCCCTGTTATCCGTGTGGGAGACTGGATGAAGCTCCTGGCTTCCACCTGGCTCACCCTGGTGGTTGTGGCCATCTGGGGAGTGAACCAGCCGATGGAAGATCTCTCTCTCTCTCTCTCTCTCTAACTCTCCCTCTCTCTCTGTAACTCTGCCTCTCAAAGAAATAAGTAAATCTTTAAAAACAAATGAATAAACTCAAAGTCATTCAGAAAACTAAATTATAAAGAACGCTGACATACAGTCTCACAGTCAACAATCCCGTGAGTATTAAGGAAACTGACGTGTCGTGCCAGTGTTGTGGCAGAAAAGGTTAAGCCCCCGCCTGTGCCCACTGCATCCCTTATGGCTGTGGATTCCAGTCTGGCTGCTCCTGGCTGTTCCACTTCCAATTAGCTCCCTACTAATGCGCCTGGGAAAACAGCAGAAGACGGCCCAAGTACCTGGGCCCCAACACGCAGGTGGGAGACCGGATGAAGCTCCTGGCTTTGCCACTGCAGCCATCTGGGGAGTGAGCCAGTGGACGAAAGACCTGTGTCTTTCCTGCTGGCTCTCTTTCTACCTTTCAAGTAATATAATAAATCTTAAAAATAAAAAAAGTGATCTTGCCTTAAAGTTCTTATGTTTCAAAAAGGAACTGGATGAAGCCACCAGGCTTAGCGGTTTATCCCACCTTTTAAATGTTCTAACCATTTTTGTGCATTATATGATGTACATTTTTTTTAAAGATTTATTCCATTTACTTGAAAGACGGAGCCACAGAGAGAGGCAGAGACAGGTCTTCCATCCGCTGGTTCACTCCCCAGATGGCCACAATGACCGAAACTGGGCCGATTCAAAGCCAGGAGCCAGGAGCTTCTTCCGGGTCTCCCACGCGGGTGCAGGGGTCCAAGGGCTTGGGCCATCTTTCACTGCTTTCCCAGGCCATAGCAGGGAGCTGGATCAGAAGTGGAGCAGCCGGACCAGAACTGGAACCCATATGGAATGCCTGCGCTTCAGGCCAGTGCTTTAACCCGCTGCGCCACAGCGCCAGCCCCTATGATGTGCATATGTTAACACACGTGTACCTTTTATACATAAGCATACCTACACGGTCCCCGCCTCCCGTGACCGTGGGGGACTTACAGTTCCAGGCGGCCGTCAGGCCCCTGCACGACCGGCTCCTCCCGGCACAGCGCCTCGAGGAAGCCGCCCCAGCAGAAGGGCTCCCCGCCGCGGCGGCGCAGCGCCCGCAGCACCCCGAGGCCGCGCCGCGCGCCCTCGGGCCCCGCCTGCAGCGCCTGCAGCAGCAGGCGGGCGGGGGCCTCCAGCCGCGCCCAGGGGGCCGACCCCGCGCCCTCAGCCGCCGCAGCGGCCGCCGCGTCTGGGGCCGCCATGCCCAGGCTCGGGCGCCGCGCCGCCTCCGCTCTGGGTTGGGAAAACCGAGGACCCCGCGGTGAACCCCTCTAGCGCCCGCCACACCCGGCTGAAGCCCCCGGCGCGCGGTCCTGAGGGGAAGAGTGGAAGCGGGGAGCGGGTTCGGAGTGGGAGGCGGGGTGCGAGGCCGGAAAGGGCGGGGTCGAGAACGGTCCCGGGCAGAAAGTGGGGCGGGGCCAGGATGGGCGTTCCCTGGGCGGGGTTAGCCCTGAGTGGGGCGGGGCTTCGTGGAGGGGCGGGTCCTCGGGAACTGACCCAAAGCCGCCACCTCCATCACTTCCGAAGTAGTGGACAGAATGGATGCCAGGGGTCAAAAATGTCCTATCTTTTAGCTGATGCCCGTGTTGCTTGTAAATCATAGGCTTTGCGATAAGGCTTGACCACAACTTAACAGCCCACTTAGCTTCACCTTTTCCATAGGCCAAAGACCGTCATCGTTTGAGTTTCCATCCTCACCAGAAATATTATTGGATGTCCACATATCCCTGAGAATGGGGTTGCAGTAAAAGTCAATGCCATCGGTATAACCGAAGCCATTTAATTAAAAATAATTTGAGGGGCTGGTGTCGGGGCATAGCAGGTAAAGCTGCCGCCTGCAATGCCAGCATCCCATATGGGCACAGGTTCCTGTATTGGCTGTTCCACTTCCGATCCTGCTCCCTGCTAACGGGACTGGGAAAGCAGTGGAAGATGGCCCAAGTTTTTGGGACCCTGCACTCACGTGGGAACTCGGAAGAAGTGCCTGGCTCCTGGCTTCAGCCTGGTCCAGCCCCTGTCATTGCAGCCATTTGGGGAGTAAACAAGCAAATGGAAGATCAGTGTATGTGTGTGTGTGTGTGTCTGTCTGTCTGTCTGTGTCTCTCCTCTCTCTATAACTGTCTTTCAAATAAATAAGTAAATAAATCTCAAAAAAAAAAAAAAAAACACCTGGGGCTGGTGCTGTGGCATAGCAGGTTAAACTGCAGTCTGCAGTGCCAACATCCCATAATGGCGCCTTTTGGAGTCTCAGCTGCTCCACTTCAGCCCAACTCCCTGCCAGTGCACCTGGGAAAGTAGCAGCAGATGACCGAAGCTCTGGGCCGCTGCCACCCATGTGGGAAACCCAGAAGAAGCTCCTGGCTTTGGCTTGGCCCACCCCTGACTGTTGTGGACATATGGAAAATGAACCAGCAGATGGAAGATCTCTCTCTCCCCCTCCCCCTCCCGCTCTGTCTGTAATTCTACTTTTCAATAACTAAATAAATATTAAAAAAAAAAAAAACAAGGCCCTGGCAAGAGGGCAGGAACATTTCCTTCCTGGGAGTCCTCCATCCCACCTGTGTCCCCCGCTGTGTCCCTGGGGCACTTCCCGGGGGTGGAGGACTTGTACTCTTGTCCCCGTCAAGCCCCTGAAGAGAAAGATCTATCACATACACCCCCAGCCCCTCTTCCTCACCTTGATCTTGGCTGCCACAGCATCCTGCTGAGTTCTGAGCCCCAGAAGGTCCTGCTCAGGGCGTAGTCCCCAAAGAACACACGGGCCTCTGGGTGCTCCCTGGGGAAGACGCTGAGCCCTGCACCTGGGAGGGGGAGGGGAAGCAGTGGAAGCCCATCGGCCGCAACCCCAGCTGCCCAGGAGCAGGGGAACTGAGGGCTCGCACACCAGGCGGGCGGCTGCAGCTAACACAGAGGTGCTGCAGCTACACACACACTGCTGACGTCACAGACACCAGACACAGGGGTCACGTTTGTCACAGACATTTATTAGAAGCTGTGGCCCGCGGCCTCCTCTGCCCCATGTCCCTGCTGTGACCCCTCGCTCCCAGAGGCCAGCTGTGTTCTCCCAGGCTGGGGAGGACCAGAGGTCAGGGCCTTAACAGGATGCAGGCGCAGGCGGATGCAGTCAGATTTGAGGGGCACAGCCGCTCCTCTGCGTGAAGAACCCACAGCAGATCCGGCTGTGAGAGCGCGGAAGAGGAGACCACTCCTAAAAGCCTGGTTTCCCCGGGAACGAGGAGCACCTGAGGCTCACACATAAGGCAGGGCAGGTTGCACATAGCACCAGTGCACCGTATCTAGGCAGGCGCCGCTAGCCTCACAGTGTAGATGCCCCGTTTGTTTCCACTGTCTTCCAGCAGATGGCAGTAAAGTGTCTTAAGGAAACCCTGCTACAATTCTTGCAGTCTCCATATGGGCCAGCAGTGGTCCAGGGGACCTCTTTTCCTCTTTTTAACTAATTAAAAAAAATTTTGTGTTAATTTTCATTTTATTTGGGCCAGCGCCGTGGCTCAATAGGCTAATCCTCCACCTTGTGGCGCCGGCACACCGGGTTCTAGTCCCGGTTGGGGCGCCGGATTCTGTCCCGGTTGCCCCTCTTCCAGGCCAGCTCTCTGCTATGGCCAGGGAGTGCAGTGGAGGATGGCCCAGGTGCTTGGGCCCTGCACCCCATGGGAGACCAGGAAAAGCACCTGGATCCTGGCTCCTGCCATCGGATCAGCGCTGTGCGCCGGCTGCAGCGGCGGCCATTGGAGGGTGAACCAACGGCAAAGGAAGACCTTTCTCTCTCTGTCTCTCTCTCTCACTGTCCACTCTGCCTGTCAAAAATAAAAAAAATAAAAAAAATTTTTCATTTTATTTGAAAGACAGAGAGATATATAAACAGAGAACGATCAGGTTTGCTCCCCAATGCCCACAGGGCTGGGCCAGGCCAAAGCCAGGAGCCAGAAATTCAGTCCAGGTCTACCATCACCTGATAGCTCCAAAAGTGCACCTTAGCAGGAAGCTGGAATCAGAAGTGGAGCCAAGGGGCCAGCATTGTGGCGTAGCAGGTAAAACCTCTGGCTGCAGCACCGGTATCCCATATAGGCTCTGGTCCATGTTCCAGTTGCTCTTCTTCTGATCCAGCTCCTTGCTAATGACCTAGGAAAGCACTGGAAGATGGCCCAAGTCCTTGAGCCCCCGCACACACATGGGAGACCCAGAAGAAGTTCCTGGCTCCTGGCTTCATCTTAGCCAGCCCTGGCTGTTGTTAACCCTGACTTTCAAATAAATTAATAAATGTTTTAAAAAAATAAAAGTGGAGCCAGGATTCTAACCTGGGCACTCCAGAATGTGTGTATGTGTCCCCAAGAGGTATCTTAAACACCGCCAAATGTCTGCCCTCGACTCAACTTTAGCCATAGCATCAAAGAGGGAGGGTAGGGGCCTTGCCGGGGCCTGGAGCCTGGCCTGGTGGTGCTGGCCAGCAAGGAGGTTGGCGGCCGTTCCTGGCTGTCCCTGTCTGCATCATGGGCACGGGCACGAGCACCGGGGGTGGGCAGCAGCGGGCTGCAAGACCAGGGTTCCTGCAGGGCCTCTGAGCAGGGTGTCTGTCCCTTCCACCTGCTACCTCCTGCAGATTCCCAGAGGAGAGAGACTCTCCGTGCCTCTGTGGCCGTGTTTCAGAAGCCCAAGACCCTGGGTGGAGGTCAGTTCCAACTGGGGCCCTTGCAGGGTGACAGGTGGTCCCACCGCAGGGGGCCTCCAGGCCATGGATGTTGATAGTGGCAGGGGAAAGAGGAGAGTGAGGCACAGGGCTCAGAGCCAGCTCACCTGGGACTCGGAGCCGAGCGGGGAGAAGGGACTCGGGGAAGATCCCCGGTGGCAAAGTGGCGGCTCAATAGCCCGCTGGCGGGCCCCGAAGACCAAGTGGCCAAGACAGTGTCTGGGTCATTCGGAGCCCTGTTTCAGTTCCTGCCTTTGTGTTCTCTCGAGAGACAGCTTGTGTGATCAGTGAGAGGAAGCAGGCTCCCGACTTGGCCCTGGGGAACCTGCGTGAGTAACTCGTCTGATGCTTGGTTTCCTCCCTTAGACAGGAAGCAGCCACGTCCGCTCCTCCCAGGCGCTCGGTTAGGCACAGTGATGACTTCCTCCAGGGTTCTAGAGTCAGAATTCTGGGTTCAAATTCTGGTACCAGGGTCGCCTCCAAAGGCAGCTGGTTAAGCCGCCACTTGCGATGCTAGCATCCCACATGAGCGCTGGTGTGACGGCTACCTGCTCTGCTTCCTATCCAGCTCCCTGCTAATGCACCCGGGAAAACAGCGGGAGGTGGTCTGAGTGCTCAGGCCCCCACATCCACCTGGGAGACCCGGATGGAGTTTCAGGCTCCTGGCTGTTATGGCCATTTGGGGAGTGAACCAGTAGATGGATAATCTTTCTCTACCTCTCTCTGTCACTTAAATAAATCTCTTTTGAAGGGTAGAGCCCTGTATAGTCGCAGAGGACCCCCCAGATTATGCATCCGGCTCTGCCAGGCACCCCTCTACTTCTTGGTGGCCTTGCCTTAGTCTCCTTGTTTGTGAAGTGGGGATGATGACAGCACCCATGTCATGGGCTGTGTCACACTTAGAGGGAGCAGCTGGAGCGCCTGGCACGCAGCAGGCCCTGAGTTGTTGTCACTGCTGTGTTCATCACTGTCACCACCCAGTGGCTGCTGACGGTCCCGTGGGAGGTGGAGGAGAGGGGGCGGAGGCGAGCGGGGCAGGTGTTTGTGAGTTTACTATGCGTCCAGGTCTGGGCTGGGCACGGGAAGGAGGTGGGGGCAACTCTGTCCTTGTCATGCAACCCCCTGCGTCGCCTGGAGCTCCCTCGGGAGGTGGCCACGGCAGCGGGGTTCTCGTCCCTCGAGAACCCAGGCTGACCCAGTCTGCGGCGAGGGTCTGCAGGGGCGTGGCTCCCACCTCTTTCCCAGGTGGTGTCCGAGGGCAGGGCACTGGCCCAGAAGCAGGCAGCGGGAGGGAAGTTGGTGACAGGTACAGGAGGATCTCGCTGCTGAAGGAGCCGGACGGTTAGTCAATGCTCCCTCGTCCCCGCCCCCGTGAGGGAACCCGGCCCCAGGACGGGACCCGGGCAGGTGAGTGAGGCACTCGCCTCGGACATGAAATTTCAGGGAATACCAGAAAAGCCAAGTACGTGAGAGAAATACTATTTTATTTCAAAAGACCAAAACTCATGCCAAAAAACAAACAAACAAACACACAATGAAGGAAATAGCAGACTTGAAATAAAGACAGGATCCAGCCCTGCCCGGCTCCCCTGTCCAGGCCCTGCAGCAAGGGCGTGGAGGACCACGAGCAGTGCAGGCTGGCACAGGGCCCACGGCACTGGCAACATGGT